CCCACTGCTCCCCTCGCGTCCTCCCCCCCCCCCGCGAGTGATGCCGTCGATCCCCCGTGGGCGGATTCCGTACCTCCACGCCGCGTGCTCTGAGCCGGCCGCGCGCCCGCGGTCCTGCGCCGCGCCGCTGCGCGCCTGGCCGCGCTGCCCACGTGGGTGTGCCCGCGCGCGCACGCACCGGAGCACCTCGGAGTGCAGAGTGTCCGCTCACGCGGGTCCACCCCGAGGGGGGGGCTCACCACCCACCAGACCACTTCCCCAGCCCAACCCGAAGGCCGCAACTTGCCCTCCACTTACAGGGGGGGGGGGGGGTCGGGGAGCACTGGAAGAGCAAGTGGAACCCGTACCCCCCCCCCCATCCCGAAATTCGGGTCCGATTCGGGTCTTCTGGTTGGGTCTGGGGTGGTCTGGTAGGTGGTCAGGGGCATGCTCCACGTGGCCAGCGAATCGGCCGACAGCTGGCACACGCCCGCCTCCGCCGCGCGGCCAGGGTGGCCGCAAGCTCGGAGAGCCCCCGTGGCTCCCGAGGGCCCGCCGCCCTGCTGCCGCCCGCAGCCGCTGGCCGAGCACGGCGATCGGAGGCCGAAGGCTCCGTGGCAGAGGGCCGGTCTGTCGCCAGGCCCGAGGCGCCCCCTCGCAGCCCGACCCGCGAAGAAGAAGCAGCGGCGTGAACACAGACGTTTGGAGCTCCGAGCGGATCTCTTGGATCGGCGCCTGGGCCCTCCTGGCGCCGCCCCTGGCGCCGCCGCTGGCGCCGGGGAGGGAGGGCCAGCGCGGATCCGAGACATCCGCGCGGACCGCCACCAAAAGTTGATGCTCATGCCGCTTCTTGTTCTTCCAGGCCCGAGGCCCGCCCCCCCGCGTAGCTCGGCCCGAGGCGCCCCCAGCAGACGTCGAGGTCACCCTTCTTGAGGCCCACCGCAGCTCAACCCGAGGCGCCCCAGGAGACGTCGAGGCCGCCCTTCTTTGCAGCCCGGCGCCTCCTCGCCGCGCGCACGCGCAGGCGCTGGCTCGGGGCAGGCAGGCGTCGCCGTGCTCGCCTTCTCCCGCTCTCTCCGGCGGGGTGGCCGGGGCCACTGGCGGGGCCTGGCTGGAGGGCCCGCGGCGCCGTGGGGGACCCTCCTGGGGGGCCTCCCTGTGCCGGCTGGGAGCGCTCGAGGGGCACAACAACAAATGTGAAGTCGGGCGTGTCCCGCCACAGGAGGAATATTCAAAAGCAGTCCAAAAATTATCATTGCGACCATTGTTTGATTATTTTTGATATTTCTGGCGCATGTTTGGATTATCTTTGATTTTTTGGTCCAAAATCTGCTTGTACGGGGGACACGTCCGACCTAAAACAACAGACGATCTCGAGCTTGTGGTTGGGAGAGCGGAACTGTTGCTGGGCGCTCCGGCGGGGCTTCCGGCGGCCGCCTCGCCTCTTTTTTCTGGCTGGCCCGAGCCAGGATGGCCGTGGCCCTCCCTCCTGCCAGCATCGGGCCAGACGAAAGGGGGGGCTAGGGAAAGGGGCTTTGTGGGCCCCGGAAACGGCAGGGCCGTTTTTTCACCGTTTCCCAAAAAATGTCACTTGAAAATGGAAGCGGCAAAAAAACTGCGACCGGAAACGGCAAAAAATAGCTCCAGGATTGGAACCAGAGCCGGAACCGGTCAAAAAACGACGACGGAACCGGTAACAAAAACGGCGTCGGAACCAGCAACAAAAACGGCAGAACGGAACCGGTAAAAAAACGGCCCTGTCGTTTCCAGGGCCCACTAAGGAAAGGGGGGGTACGAAGTCTGCTGCATGCAGCTGGTTTCAGCCCCACCGAGGGGCTCAGTCCTCGATGCATGGCCGCCTCCAGCGCCGGGAAAATCAGCCACGTGGGCTGATTCTCACCCCCCCCTGTGTGCTATCCCCCCTGTCGCCGCGAACCCGATGCCAGCACGCGCGCGCGCAGGGGCGAGGCAGGGAGGGACAGGGAGAGGGCGCTGCCCGACTGCGCCGCTCCACTTCGGGGGGCGGGCGCGCCAGGCACGAGGGAGGCCGGGACCGAAGCGCCGAGAGCGCTGAGCTTTCAAGCAGTGGCGAAGCGCCCTGGCTCGCCTATGTTATGTTGCATCCTCGGGGGACCTTGTCTGTCCCGTCGCGGCCCTGTCCGCGTCGAATCCGTGTCGAATCCATGTCGGACGCGTCGGATCCGTGTCGAATCCGTGTCGAATCCGCGTCGAATCCACGCCAAATCCGCGTCGAGTCCGCATCGAGCACGCGTCGGGCCCCCAAAAAGATACAAATGTTTGGGACAGGCGAGGTCCCCCGAAGATGCAACAGAACCTATGGTCGGAAACCGGTACATGTGCATGACCTGTGGCGGGCTGTTTTTCAAACAGAGGCCTCTTTGAGGGTCGGGGGCGACGTCGGGGTGGTGCGGTGTATGCTTGTTTGATCCGCTTCCCAGGAAAACAACGAAACATGTATGCACCAGGGTCCCGTATACACCAGGATCCGCTTCCTTGTGCAAATTCGAGTGCTGGGTTAGAAAAAGCATCGGTGTATAGAGTTCGGTTCCCTATACAGGCCCACCAAAGAGTATTCTAAAAACCTGGTTTGGTTTGCACCAAATGTTCTTAGAGCACTTATGGCTGAGTCTGTCTTGTTTAAACACATAGGGCATCTGTTCTAAGAACATGGTTTCTGTTCTTAGAACATCTTTGGGTTCTGAGAACATGTCGTAGTAGGCCTATAGGAATGCCGGGACGGTCGGTTCCTGCTTAATGAGCCGGTTCTCCCGGTGAGGGCCTGGCTGGGGATTGGGTGGGGGCTGCGGCGTTGGGCGGGGTGTGGGCAGGAAAACAGTTAATTATCGGGTTGGGAGGATGGGGTTCCCTGAGATCCTGGCGTTGCATTTTTTTCACAACGGGCGTTTTCGCTCAATGTCGGGCCCCGGGACCCTCACAGATCGATCCAGCTCGAAAAATGACGCAGAAAGATGCGGTCCGGGGCTCCGGGCATGACTTTTGCGATGTTGTATTTTTTAACAGCGTCGGATCTAAGGGTATCGGGTTGGAAGGATGGGGTTGGGAGACAGGAGGATATCCGTACCCGTAGGCGGCCGAAGGTATCGTTCATTGCATGCGGATGCTACTGCTCATGCCCTTCATCCTCTCCGCCCCTTCCTCCCACCACGATTATCGTTCTCCTCAGGTGAGTGGGGCGGGGGCCTCGGGGCTCAGCCATGGCGGGAAAAAGGAGGCGGGGGCGCAGCGCTGGGCCCAAATGTGGCGCCGGTTCTGCCTCACGCAGGGGCGGCTGCCAACAAAAGAGTCGGCGCGAGCGGTGGCCTGCGGCGGGCTCTTCTGTATGTCGGGGGCTTCCCTGCGTCTGAAGTTTGAACGTTTGGAGCCCAGTGGGGCCCTGGATCCGTCGCCGCGGGGCCTCTGAAAAACACATCGCGTTAAAAAGGCCAGCGCCTGTGGTGGGCCTCACTCTTGGTTGCCGCTGCGTCGTTTCAGCGTGTATATATACACGTCTGCACATTTGCAGCAGCGACCAGGGGAATCGCGTTATCGGTGGGCGGCGTTCTTGGCATTTCCACTCCCAAGCCCACAACAGCCCTCATTCCTAGTCCGCGCCATTGAGGTCGAACTATGACATATACGGTGGGGGCGTTGCTTCAGGAATGTGCCCTGGAGGCTTCAGACCCTGGGGGGGTCCTTTATCTGATGAGGGCGGCGGTGACATCCATGGCCAGGCTTCGACTGGAGTTCCACCGGCCTCCAGACCCTGGATTCCTCATCTAAGGCTTCCTTATCCGATGCCCCCACCGTATTAGATCTCCGCTCGGCCGCTCGACCGCTCGGCGTCGCTCGGCCGCTCGTCGTCGTCGTCGTCGTCGTCGTCGTCGTCGTCCTCGTCCTCGTCCTCGTCCTCGTCCTCGTCCTCGTCCTCGTCCTCGTCCTCGTCGCCGTCGTCGTCGCCGTCGTCGTCGTCGCCGTCGTCGTCGCCGTCGTCGTCGTCGTCGTCGCCCTGGTTGGGCGAGGTCCGTGGAGGAGCGGTAGCTTTTGGCCTCTCCAGAGTCGCCAGCTGCCCTGGTCTGCGGCACCGGGTCCGCTTGGAGTCAGCGCTGGCAGAGGTTCTGCCACAGTTCAGCGGGGCCTCCTCGTGGGGCATCCTCTGGGCCTCTCAGGCGCCTCGTGGCGTCAGTGCTGACGGCGGATCCACCTCGCTCCTACCCTCCCCCCCTTCCCAGGAAGGGGGGGAGCAGTCAGACGATGATGGGGGGCGGGAGGTGGATCAAGGTGGACTTGTAGACCTGTTCGATTCCTGCGAAGGCCTCTCAAGCACGAGCTGGCGAGGGGCCCAGCTGGCGGCCTCGGGAGAGTCATCTTGGGGCGGAGGGCTCGACACGTCGGCCCATGTTGCCCATCGGGGGCCTCTCTTGCGCCCCTCTCGGATGTGCTCGGGGCCGTCTTGGCGGCCTCCTGGGCCGCCTGGGGGGCCTCGTGGGCCGCCTTGGCCGCTCATGGCCGAACGTGCGTAAGGGCTCCTCCCCTCCGCCCAGAGGGATCCTGGCTCCCAGAGAGGCGGCCCTCCGTTCCACCAATACGGGACCCTCCCCCGCCGAGGCGGGCGTATGGTTGCTCCTCCTCCTCCTCCTCATCATCCTCCTCTTTCTCCTCCTCCTCCTCCTCCTCCTCCTCCTGCTCCTGCTCCTCCTCCTCCTCCTCCTCCTCCTCCTCCTCCTCCTCCTCCTCGCTCGCCGCCCATCCTCCTCCTCCTCCTCCTCCTCCTCCTCCTCCTCCTCCTCCTCCTCCTCCTCCTCCTCCTCCGACATTTCCATCCCCCATAATTCCGGCCCCGCGGCGCCGAGGGCGCGAAGCGCTGCAGGCGAGGGCTGGCGCAGCCCTCCTCGTCCGCCTGCTCCTCCTCCTCCTTCCTCCTCCTCCTCCTCCTCCTCCTCCTCCTCCTCCTCCTCCTCCTCCTCCTCCTCCTCCCCCCCTGCTCCTTACCAGCGTCGGCGATGTGGCGCGCAGCCGCCACCGCGGTCACGGAACGTCGCTCCGCACGCCGCCTCCCGTGGGACACGGCGGACGAGGAGTTCGGCATGGTGGGCGTTCCGATGCTGCGGCTGGCCGCTGGGGCGCCAGCTGCTGGAAGGACCCGACCTCCATCGTGCAGCGCCTGGCAGGCGTCACCGACTCATCCGTCTTCGTTTCGGGAAGTGGCTCGCACCTCCAGCACATCGCCAGATCCACCAACCCACGTCCTCGTGTCCGTGCTGCGCTCCAGTTCGCCCAGAAGTACGCCGCGCGCAAACGCACAATGACCAATCTGAACCGCCACGACAACGAGTGCGGTCACTCGAAGGTGCGCAGCACCTTACAGAAAGCTGACTTGCTTGCCTTGCAGGAGCGCCCCTACCACGACAAGATGCCGCAGACCATCCGTAGACGCCTGCTCGCTAGGCCCCCTGCCTGGGACCCGAACTGCCAGTGCACCCGGCAGCCACGGAATACCACCCGCGGACTCGTGGACCAAGGTCCGGATCGGCTCCAACGAGGTGCTGCTGCGTGGGCGGACCTGTGGGTCCCCAACGTGCTGCTGGGCAGCCGAGACGCTGACAGCGAGCGTGGCTTCATCGACGGGTGCGTCGAGTACACTAGCCGAGCGTTGCAGCGCGACGACCTCGTTCGCCTCAGCAGAACCGCCGCGCCGCGAAAGAACTGTGCGCACAGGCGTTGTGGGATGGGTCTTTCGGCCGCCGTCTGCTGGAGTTGCGCCTCTAGGGCAACATGAGATCTGACAGGGACGGGATCCGTGAACAAGCAGCGGCTCGTGCAGAAGAGAAGAAGCACAACACCGAGCTCGCTGGCGGTGGCTCGAGAGTCATCGGCAGGACGTCACCAAGCCTCCGCCCGAGCCCGACACCGCGATGCCGCTGGACATTGAGGAGGACGGCGAGCCCATGGATTTGCTGAACCTGTAAAGATTCCCTGCCGCACGCGCGTGCTGCAGTTCAAGAGGAGCCGCCATCTCGGATGTGGGGCGGGTCACGGCCTCGAGCAGTATGTGGTGTGCCCGCGTTTCTGGCACCAGCTGGGCTTGCCGCATCGCCAGCCGAGCTCCGACCTGACGGTGCGCATCGGCCTCCCGCCGGCCACCTCCGCGCTCGAGGGCGAGAGTGCTACGTTCTCTCTTGTTCTGTGACTTCTGCTTGTCGGGGCACGTGTTTCGTGCTGTGCTCGGCAGGCGCGTTCGCCCAAAAAAGGACGCCCACCTGGCCAGTGACGAGTGCCGAGGGCGAGAGCGGCAGTTCCAGCTCCGTGGCTCTCGTGGGGTCTCCACAGGGATGCACCAGTCCACGAAGGATGGGCTCCCGCCCCTCTCCTCCAGCAGTCAGAGCGAGGCCGCCGCCGCCCGCCGCCCGCCGCGCCCCGAGACTGGCTCCCGACCTCTCGGGCGGCGCGCGGCCGCGGCCGGGATCGGAGCGGAGCCCCCCTTGTGGGCTTTGCTTTGCTGCTCCTCCTCCTCCTCCTCGTCCCCCGTCCTGGGGAGGGGGGCTGCTGTGCGTGCCGCCCCCCCGGCAGGTGAGGAGCCACTCTTCTGCGAGGTACAGCGGGCCGCGTCGCTCACGGTGCGTCCAATGGCTGGCCCGGCTGCCCTGCAGTGCCGCTTCCTGGTTTCCACAATCGGGCCAGGGCTGCGTCTCTGGAGTGTGTCCTACCTACCTCTTCCTCCCCATCCTTCCCCCCCCCCCCCCTCGCGCGCGCGCGGGAGGACGCGCACGCGTAGGAAGAGAGGGCGGAGGAGCAATACGACGACGCCCGACGACGACGACGACGACGACGACGACGACGACGACGACGACGACGACGACGACGACGACGACGGCCTGGACCTGTCCCGGGGCGCGCGTTCCGAACGGAGCTCTGGAACGGGGCCGACCGCGGCAACGAGGGCACCTCCAGAGGCCCAGCAGGAAGAACATCTCAACAAAAAGACGGCGCCCCCGGAGATCCCCAAAGGGGTAAACGATCAGACGAACCCGACCCTCCAGCGTCGCTCTTCGGTCTTCACGCCCCCCGACGCCCAACGACGACGACGCCCGACGCTCAACGACGACGACGCCTGACGCTCAACGCCAGTGACGACGGCAGGCGGCGGCGAAAACAGCCAGCCGCCCCACCCGAGGATCTGTCCTAGGGCGAGTTCTGGCCAGTGGAAGGGGGATCAAGCCGTGTCCACGAAGGCGCCCCTTGGAAGCCTTCAGGTTGACCTGGAAGACCTCGATCCGCGAAGCTCGACGACGACGATGGACGGGCGAACGACGTCGACAACGATCGACGACGATGACGCCTGGTGCCCGACTCTCGACGACAAGGACCAATAGGATGACGACGACGACGACGACAATGACCACGACCACGACGGCGAAGACGCTCGCAGAGGCGACGACCACGACGACAACGACCACGACGACAACGACCGAGGACGGCGGCGGCGGCGTCTGGCGGCGGCGGCGTCTGGCGGCGGCTGCCGGGGGCGCCCCCGACCGAGGCGGGCGGCGGGGGCGAGGCGCTGCTGCCCGGCCAGGCGGAGGCTGCCAGCGCCGCCGCCCGACCGCCGCGGGGCGCCGCCGCCGTGGCGAAGCCGCGGGGGGTGGTCGTCCCGTGTCTCTCGGGGGCGGAAAAGAGGGGGGTGATGACTAGGGGGGGGTGGATATCATGGCGTGGGCCATGACATTTCCCCAGATTTCATGGCGCCTCTTCTTATTTCATTACGCCCCTGGCCCCCCCGCGGGGCCGCGCACATGCCGCCGGTCATGATTTGCACCCCCCCCTCTTGGACACCCCCCTTTTTGCCGCCCCCGAGTCTCAGCGAGCGAAGAACGGTATAACATAAACTTTTTCGCTGTCGGGGGCGCCTGTCCCTGGGCGGCTGGAAAGTTTATACCCCTGCGGTGCCACCGTAAGGGTACAAACTTTCCAGCCGCCCTGGGACAGGCGCCCCCGACAGCGACACAGTTTGTGGCGAAGCGTGCTGGCGCTCGCCTGTGGTCAAGGGAGGAAAAGCCACCCGGACCGGACAATTGGCGTCTATTGGACGGCCTTGGGCGTTCACTAAGCAGCCCTGCCCTGTTCGATTCCTTCAGTGGGCGCGGTGAGTAAAAGGGCTTCGCGTGTCGGGGTGGTTCTTATGGGGGTGGATGTTTGCCCTTTTTATAGGCCCACCAAAGAATGCTCTAAGAACCTTTTGCGATCTGCGCGAAATGTTCTCAGAGTATTTCTGGCCGAGACTGTCTTGTTTTCACACGTTGGGTTCACGTTCTAAGAACATTTTTGCTGATCTTAGAACATTCTTGGGTTCTAACAACATTTCGTGGTCGTCCTGTGGTCGTCGCTCGTCCGTCACGGGTCCTAGACCTCTTCGATTCATGACAGAAGTCACGACGGCAGGTTTTTCACCGTGTTCGGTCCTTGGGGGCCCTTGCCGGGCCTCGGGATCTTGGAAAAACAATCCAGGATGAAAATCCAGTCCTGGAGAATGGGTCGAAACCTCTGGGGTCGACGTCATGAAAAAATCAGTACGTTGGGGGTCCGGGGTCGTCGGTCGCCGTCGGTGGCTCCTCCACGCTGCAATTTTTGCAGAGCGGGCGTTTTCGCCGGGCATCAGGCCCGGGGGCCCGCACAGATCGCTCGGGCTCAAAAAATGACGCAGGAAGATCGGGTCCACTGTTCTGGTCGCGATGTTTGGCGATGTTTTAACTTTTTCCACTCGGTCGTGCAATGACCACAGATGGGGGCAGTTCGCGCGCCGATGGGCCCCATTCCGGGCGCAGATCTATCGGCAGGTCGTGAAACTGATGGACCGCCTAGAAGGTGAGAGTGTGAGAATGTGAGACTGGGAGTGTGAGGACGTCGTACTGTGCAGCTCTGCAAGGACGCGAGAATGCGCGTGCGAGAGCGCGGGAAGGCCCTCAACAGCCTGCACAGGGCGCGCCTCTGCGCACGCCGCTCCTGTTGTGTCCTGCCCTGTCGGATCTCGGGGGTCGTCGGCCATCCCCGCGGGCGGGTAGCAGATCCGTGCCCTCGACCTCGCGGGCTGGGCCGTGGGGCCGCGATCCCCCGCCGGTGTGCGGGGCGTGTTTGGGCGGGCGCCCCGCGCGGAACGCGCCCGCGCGATCCCGCGCATGCGCGGGGTCGCGCCCCGGGAGCCAGACCGCGAAGGCGCGGAGAAAGAGATCTTCGCCGATCGCGAGCCATGGGCATGGTTGTCGTCGTCGTCGTCGTCGTCGTCGTCGTTCGCCGTCGCCGTCCGATCCGATGTCGTCGTTGTGACCGTCGCGGTGGCCACCCGCGGTCGCCGGCGTGGTCGTTGCCGTCGTTCGTACGAGGTCGTCGGCGTCGTCCCAAGGCACCGGGTGTCCCGAAGCAGTAAATGAATGTTTTAAATAGTTTCCGGCCTCCCGCGGCCGCCACCGAGCTCCGGGACCGTCAAGAAACGACCTTGGATGAAAAACCGGTTTCGGAGAAGTGGTCGAGAGGTCGGGGGCCCGTGCTTCGAATACTTCGAAATTCTGGATGGGTCGTCCGTCGTGGTCGTCGTTCGTCGTGGTCGTCGTCGCCGATCGATGGTCGTCGGCGTCGCTGTTTCGTCCGTCATGCTTCGTATGTCTGTGTCGTTTGTCGTGGTCGTCGTCGCCGATCGGTGGTCGTCCGAGGTCGGTCGTCGTCTTCGCCACCGCCGTCCTCAATATCATCGGTTGTCGGCCGGCGCCGCTGGCGTCGCCGTGTCGGGAAAAGCTGGGAGGGAAAACCAGGGCGGGGGGAGGAAAGCGGGATGGGAAGGGGGGTCGTGGGGAGAGGAACTGTGAGGGTGGCATGAGGAGTGGAATAAGAGGGCAGGGGGGGATCACGCCTTTTTGATTACGACGGCCACGATCAAGACCGCTAACCACCACCGCGGCAGGCATGCCCACGGCCACGTCCACTGTGGGCGACGCGTAACCCGACCTCCGCTTCCGCCCCCCCGTTTTGTCGTCCCCTGCTGGGTCGCCCCTGCCGGGGCGTTTTTGCCTGCAGGCCGCGCGTGCCGTCCTCTTCCTCCGGCCTTCCACTCGAGGGACTCATTCTCTCGCCGAGGCGCCCCTCGCCGCCAAAGGCGCCACTGTGCTCATAAGCTTGGAACCGCCTGTCCTGCATAGTCCTGCGTAGTCTTCAACACATGGGGCCCCTCGGTGTCAAACGTGGCCGCAGGCGAGCAGGAGGTGCCCCGCCTGGGCACGGCGTGGGGTGCCGTGCGTCTTGGGCCGTGGCCCGGCAGGCCCTCACGTGCCGTTCGGGCCCGCTCCCGCACGCCAGGCTTCTGGTGGGCTTGCGATGTAGGATGAGTCGGGTGCCAGGACCGCTGCTGCGAGGGGATGGGGGATGAGGAGGGGACAGTGGGCGCGAGAGGGCGACCGGGGTAGAGGGGGTGTGAGATATACGCTGCGCGTCGCACGCAGTGTAGCATCATAGCAGCCTGTTCATGCATGGAGCAGCGGGCGAGGGACTTGCTTTACCCCGCTCTCCATTTTTTTGGCCCAATCTTTCTCCCAGGGCTTTTCAGCCACTACGCGTACGTTGTGACGACGTGTTCGATTGGCGTTGTTCTTGTTCTGCGCGTTAATCAGCATCCGCATCGTTAAAGGCACCAAGAACTTCGATCAGTTTATACTGGTAGCGGCGATGGGCACGGTTCATATCCAGCTCGCACAGTCCATATTTCCAGATCGTGTTGGACGACAATACCAACGAGGACGGCAGCGGAAACCATAACTGCTACGTGGAATGGACCTCCAGCGAGGTCCTCAGCTACAGTAGCGACAGCAACAACACTCTGGGCCTCACCACGCTCAGAGTCATCAGGATGGCGAAAGGCAGCGGGTACACAGCGCCCGACGGCACGGTAACCCTACCAGGAGGAGGACCTCCCACGTTCGACGGACCGCTCAGCGAATGGAAGAAGGACCAAGAGAAGCGCGCGACCATGTTCCTGGCCGAGCTAGCCGTGGAGAAGAAGGAGGGCGAAGCGGCTCTCTTGCTAGCGCCAGGCCTCTGTGGTGAAGCCGGGGTCAGATCGACGAGGCCTCAGCCGAAGACCTGACCAAGGCAGGTGCAGTACCCATGTTTTTGGACACGCTGCGGAAAGGATTCGGGATAGACTTCCGGACGTAGCTGGCAGGCGGCTTCGGTAAATACTTCGATCTGTTAAAGAGGATGCAGGGCACGATTCAATTTTTTTTGGGGGGAAACACGAAACATATGTTCATACATTGCACGGGCGCTTGCAGCACAGCGCAGACTCGGGGCCCACGACGTTCAGCTACTGTCCAGGGTTCGGGGTTGGCTACTTCTACCACGCGGCGGCTACAGCTCAGACCAGATGGAGGTGATCATGTCCATCGCCGGCAAGGACACCTCCAAGGACAACCTCATCGAGGCGCTCGAAACAACGGTTGGGCATGAGAGCGCAATATACGAGCCAAATCCTCCACGGAAGCAGTACTACGTCGAGAAACATGACGAATAGCCAGCGGCGGAGGAATACCAAATCCAGGATTACGACGAGCACGGGCTCGATGACGGGTACGAGCATCAGTACTAGACCGAGGACGACGACACCTGGTACGACTGCGACGAACCAAACCACCGGCGTTACCCCAACGCCAGCCAGGACGAAGACGTCGGCGAGTTCGACGAAGCTTACGCGGCCTACATGGACGTGAGGAAGCGGTTCAACGACTCACGCTCTTCTCGAGGATCATATCGGGCCGTGGCGACAGTAGACCTCGGCAGCAACAGCAGTGGCCCATCCCAGGCCAAAGGAACACCAGCAAGACGAGGGAGGTCCAACGGCAAAGCCCGCGAACATCATCGAAAGGCAGCGCTGGCGGCAGGAAATGGAAACACAATTTCCCTTTCAAGAATCCCTGCGCTCGGCCGCGACCGACGGCAGCGCAGAGCGCAGACGCACCGAGCAGACCTACCCCAATCACATCGTCCACATGTCCACACCTCGGCAAGACGGGACACTGGGCTCGCAACTGCGCGGGCCCACCGAGAAAACGACCCCGCAACGGTGATGGCATAATGGTCGTCGAGGTATACTGGAACGAACGGCGTAAGACCAAAAGCCAGATCTTACCTCATCAGGGCGTCCTGGACTGCGTTGCGACGACGCCCGCGTCAGGATCGGGCGCGATCTAGGGCGACCTCGCAGGGTCAGGAGTCCACGGCCAGGGCTTTCCGGTCGAGGAGCTCAAGTTCTACGCGTGCGACGGCCATTCCAAGTCGGGAGCGGCATGGTCGAGCGCGCGCTCTAGCGCGGCGCGACCCCGGCGACCTCCACGACGCGCAAGGGCGCCCTCGTCATCTACGCGGCCCCAGTGCGGATGCCCATCCTATTCCCACGGCCATTGCTGGAGGAACTCGGGCCCAGGTCGATCACGCGATGCAGGAGCTCTTCTGGGTAGGCGCCGAGTTCGAGGGCTCGGCGCCGCCCCCGCCAGGCCGCTAAATGGTGGCCTTGCTGGAGGACCTGGGCGAGCTGAAAGACCAGGCGGAGTTGGACTACCAGCGCGACCCCGTAGATGCCAGGCAGGTCCTGGAGGAGGGCTGCGAACGCATCAGCGCGATTGAGTTTTTGTTCAACGAGATCTACAAGGTGGCGACGGGGGCCAATTCTACGGCGCATGGTCAAGGCAGAGTCGTTTACTGCAGCGCATTCATGAAGCAGTCCGATCGCATGAGACGCGCATCTTGCGGCCCATGACGTTTCGCGACTACGCCTGTCGAGCCCGCGGGCAGAAGTCCACTCGGGCGCCGCTGGCGCACCAGGCCGAGGGCGGAGAAGCAGAAAGACGCGGGCGCCAACCCGACCAATGCCGCGAGCAGCGGAGATCCCGACCTCGGGGCAATTCAGATCGCATCAGGAATTTCCCAACTAGATCGATTCGGCGGTCAAGCATGGGAGTAGTTAGTGCGTCTAGTTACTTCGAATGACAGCAGCCCGGCGACGTGCTGGGGGGCGCGCGATCTGGGGCGTCTACGCGGGCGATGCTCGACTATCCCAAGCAGCGCGCGACCCCGGAGCCAGCGTCGAGGCGCGGCCTAGGCGCCCGCTGAAAGTTCGGCAAGGGCGACCGCCAGCAGGAGTTCAGGGAGCGACTCTTGGAAAAGCACCCAGGCGAGGTTTTCCTGACTCCCGCGCGCGAGCCATCGACGGGCGCCCAGGAGCTGATCATCCGCCGGAATCCTGGATGCAAGAGGAGCATATCGTGGAGCTACGCGACTCGCATCGTCGAGCGCATTGAGTTCGACGCGGGCGTCGGGGGCGCGGGGCAGGCAGGCGGGCGACGCGCTTGAACTGAGCTGCCCCCCGCGTCGAAAGCCTAGCGCGCGGCGGCGTTCTCGAAATACGCCGGGCGCGAGGCCACGTTTGACCGGCGCGCGCGCGGCCTAGCCCTGGCCGGCAGCGACGCGCGCTCATGAAACCCACCGCGACACAGACGACCAAGATGCCACAGGCGACCGCCATGGCGACGAGATTTGATCGAAACCGCCAGCGCGCGGCGCCAGAAGGAAGCGTCAGCCGCGCAGGTATCGAGCGTGCCAAATACGCTGGCAATTGCCCCGCGCGCTCTCGCTGCCGCGTTTGCGCGGGCCACGATGGGGCCTGAGACCGCGGAGATGCACGGCGCCGAGGACGCCGACGCCACCGAACCCAGCGTGGAGTTAGACAAGGAGACAGGGCACGCCCATCGGCAACTTCGAGAGAAGTACGGCACAGTGGCGCAATCATGCGTCGAGCGACTGCAGCGGAATGTGGGCCACCGACGCCCGTCGGTTCTACGCCGACTGCCTCAGCGCGCGGGCGCGCAGGACAGCGCCTTGCAGTGCGCGCTTGAATATCGGCGCGAACGCTGCGTGGGGCGTCAGCGACTTCCAGACTCCAGAAGCACGCAACGCCAGCGCGATGTAGGCGACGATGCTCAACGAGACGGTCTTCGCCGACGTGTTCTGGATCAAGACGGCGACGGGCAAGGAAGCAGTATTCTCGACGGTGGACGGGCCCACCGGGCACTGCGCGCCACGACGCAATAATGTGGAAGCGGCGGGCGAGCACGTCAACTCAGTCGAGCGGGGGTGGATCTGACAGCCTGGCACGATGAAAGGGCCCAGGACGGACGACGGGTCGGGGCTCGCATCCGAGATGTTCGCAGTCCTTGGAGCATCGCGCGATCCTCGTCATGATCGCGACGGGCGAAGCTCAAGCCAGCCTGGGAATACTATATCGAGGCCACCATATAGTCAGAGAAGCCATCAGATTCCGACTCCAACGACACGATCGAACGTGGAGCCAGCACCATCTTCCACGAGGAGCGGATCACCGAGGCGCGCACCAACGTAGCTCCTCAAGTGAACCGACTGGCGGTCACCAAAGTTGTCCATCCATGCCAACGGGCATTCGCCGCGGACCCTACGGTGACCAGGTCCAATTCGCGAGACAAGTTTTCGCCAGCCACCCTCTACCAGATGAGGGAGGACAAGGTCCTCAAGAACTCGCAGGACAGGCGCTCGATGGCTGCGGCCGCTCGATGACGGCAGACGCGTCAGCGGAACTCAGGCGCGGCCTCCCGCGATGACGCGTTTCGCTCGAACGCGATCTGCGCTTGGGCTGTGGCGCTACTGCCTACGCGAGGGCGAGTCGGACAAACTCATCAAGAACACATGGTAGGGACCAGCCATCGCCATCGTCACGGACATGCGGCAGGACGAGGTTGGCCTCAGGATCCATTGGATCGTGCACTGCGCACGCCTACTCCGATATTCCCCAGTGCACATGCGGCCCGACGTGCGGGGCCAGAGTTGCGACGTGCTACAGGACCTCGACAGGGCCTAAGACACCCTGGGCGGCATGCGCCTTGTTGCGCATATCCACGATGCGAGCGAGCAGCAGACGCCCTTCGGGGCGCTTGGCGGTGCCGATGTGCACGCCGACGAAGAGGACGATGATGACGACGTTTGGCAACCATCTACAGGGCGTCCTCTGCGCCGGCCCCGATCCAAACTACAATGGCAGCGTCATCAGGGGCGGCAGCGTGATCACTCGCGGTGCCAATGACTCGTACGATGGCCCCTAGCGCAGCTCAGCCTGCAACGGCTGCGGCAGCGACGCCGGGCGAGGACCGCGCCGCGGACGCGCCCGCGACAAATGCGGGCTTACTGCGCCAGCCAAACAAGGGGCCCACGCCACCGACGCCACTGCCCGCGGCAGACGGGCAGCAGGAGCCCACGACGCCAGCGCCACCCGCACCACCACTCGAGGGAGGAAACAACCACCCCGACCCCGATGTAGCGTCTGGTAAGCGACCTTGGGTGTTTTCTAAGCAGCCCTACCCTGTTCGAGTCCTTCCTTGGGCGCCTTTGCGGCGCGGCTTCGGCTGTCGGGGCGCTACTTCCGAGGGTGGATTTCCTGCGCTCTAACCATAGTCTGCCTTTCTGGCACAGGCTCCACTGCGCGAGAGCCGACGTCGACCCGACGCGGCCAAAGCAGCGATCTTTTGGCGGCCAGACGGGGCATGTCGAAGGCCACCTCTACCAGGAACAGCTCGCAGCTCGGCGATGCTAGCGCCCGACAACGCCGACGACGAGCTCGCAACCGTGCAGCTCGAAGAGGTCAGCGACACAGCTTTCGGATTGGGCTTTGATTGCGCCATCTTCTCGCGCGCGTCCATCTGCGATATCATGCCCGACGAGCGAGCAGCTCTCGCGGGAAGCAAGCGGGCGGAGTTCGAGCAGCTCTTCGGCAGAGACGCGCGGGAGTTCAACGCGCCGCCTTGCCGGGAGGACCCATCGCGGGTCCTGGAGGCTAAGTGGGCGCTCGAGTGGGCGAAGCGCGGCGACGGCGCGCCCAGGGCGAAAGCACGCCTCGCACTACAAGGACCCAAAGACCTGACGCCCTCAGCGGCAAGGTTCCAGCCAACAGCAGGTTGATGTTGCGGGCCGCAGATGCGGCGACGGCATCTCCTCAAGGTCGACCGCGAGAGAGAGTTCAATATGCGAAGGCCCCGAAGGGCGATGCAAAACCCGTGAGGGGTCGACGCCGAGACGCTCACTGCGCTCATATGGCCGATGCTTGGCCAGGTGGGCGCCCCCCCGGGCGACGGTGGCAGCGCGGAGCGGGCGATTTCAAGTCGCGCGGAGTCAAGCATCATCGTAAGGCACCGCGCGCTGTCACAAGTTCCGACAAGGACGGCGAAAACAATGGATTCGCATTACTGCGCGTCGACGATGCTGTCGGCGGTGGAAACCAGAGACCTGGAGGCGTCCATGATGAGATCATCAAGGAGGCCGCGCATAAGTTAGAGCTCAGGAGTGGGATTTCGGAGGGCAAGATAGACTGCTGCGCAGTCGGCCTAGACCAGGAGCCCACCCCAAGAAAGAACGTTGGCGGTGACGAGATCGAAGCCTAGATGGCCATGTACGCCAAGGACTTCTAGCCGAGATCAGATGAACGGCGACGATCACGGGGGGCTCAACTTGGAGGAGAAGCGTCGGCTACGAGGCGAGCTCGGAGCACCGCAATGGCCGAGACCGCAGGCGCGCCCGCGCATAACGGATTCTGTCAGCATGCATCGAGGTCACCGACGGCCACGGCAGCCACAGCGCGGCAGGGGAACCAGACGCTGCGGTTCTACATGCAGAACGCGGACATCGGGCTCAAGGTGCGCAAGTTCGTTCGAACGAATGCGCATTGCGGATTCCTCTCTGCATGCGGAGTCCCAAGCAGCAGCAGGCGTGGCACCTGAGATTTCGTCGAGCGGTCCTGGGTGGCCCTGATCCACCCAGACTTGAACATCACGAAAGAAGAGAGCACCCACTACACTGGAGAGCCAGCTCCGGCGATCGACGCGACGGCCCTTTACGACGCAGCCACGAAGGAAAGCGCCGCGAGCTTCCAGGACATGAGGACCCGCATAAAGGTGTTTGCACTACGCAAATGCATGGAGGCGAGCAGCACAGTACTTTCACCCCAGAGACTGCACGCGGATGGACTCATGAAGATGGTAGCACGGCGGCGTTTCGCGGACCAGCTACGGCGCGGACGCTCGCATCTGACGCATGACCCGACTTGCGCGGCTACCAAGAAGACGGTCAAGGAGGAGCCCATGGGAGAGTATCAGCCAGACGCGAGCAGACGCATCTTCAGCGACACGAACGGCGAATGCACCACTGATGCATCTAGCAGCGTTTGCAGGGCGGCGGCCGACGTTGGCAAGGAGATCAAGCACGATGCGTGTGTGTGCCTTGTCTTTCGTGGCCGACGCTATGATACTTAGGGCGTCCGTGTCATGGCCGATCACCAACCAACTGAACAAGTCGAAGTATGACATGGAAATCATGCAGATCAAGATGGGCGCTGCTTGCCATCAGAAAGCCAAGAAGGACTGCGACAACGAGAACGACGAGATGGTCAAGGCAACGAAGTACAACAATAAGAAGGACGACAAGTCCGAGCAGCACAACGGCGACTCTATGCCCGACAGCCTTGCAGCAATCTCGGAGGAAACTGGCCAACGACGTGATGACGGTTGGTACACAGTGTATGGTACACAGTGTATATGCACCTGCAAGCTCAGCGGTTGCCAGTGGCGGTTCGCGCACGCTTCGCACGGGGCTGCACTGGCGGGCAAGACCACGACTGAGGAGGCGCAGCTACGCACCCGCACGCGACTTGGCCCAGCCAGCTAGGTGAACTCATGTTCGTTCCTCGTGCGATTGTATCCCGTGGTCTATTTTTTTGTTTGCGGCTCTGGCTCTGGAGCTATAGGAGTTGAGTTCGGCCTTTTTCTTACAGTGGGGGCGCGCATCAAGAAACCATCTGCTTTTCGTCAGGGTATCCTGGGTTTTTTTCGCTCCTCGCGCTACGCGGTGACTGTCCGCAGCCGTTGAAAGAGTTGCTGCGCTCAGGTTGCTCCGGGTTTCCCCTCAGGTGTACCTCGCGCGCGGGTTTTCAGGCGTGGGTTTCTGGCGAGGGTTTCTTGCGGCCGCGCCCGCACTGTAAGACCACGGGTGTCGGATACGCGCTGTATGCCGTATGCAATGTAGCAGCAGTGCAGGATGTGCGTGTGTAGAGCAGCGAGATAGGGACGTTGTCTTCCCCCGCTGCCCGCTTCTGGGCCAAACCTTACCAGGGTCATTGAGCCATTACGCTTGTGGTGTGAAGAGATTATCGAATTATTTCGTGGTGTTATCCATATTGCTCAGCATCAGCATAGTCAAAGACTTCGGGAGCCTTGATCCATTCATAGTGGGGCTTCGGGGGGAGGAGCAGGCAGGGAAGCGAGAGCAACTGGGGGCGGGGTGTGAGCAGGAAGAGGGGGGATGGGAGAGAAATGCGGACTGAAAGAGAGAGAGAGAGAGAGAGAGCGAGAGAGAGAGAGAGAGAGAGCGGGAGGAAACGAGACAAACACACATACACACATACATACATACATACATACATACATACATACATACATACATACATATGTATATATATATATATAAACACATACAGAGATAATGCGAACACGAGAAAGAGACACATAGAGATAATGACAAACAAAAAAAAAACGTAGAGAAACAGAGAGAGAGAGAGACACGAAAACACAACTAGGGAGGGAGCGAGGAGCATAACTATGATGATGAGAATGGAAAGGAGCATGCCGCCCTTCTCCCTCACCCCTCGTTTTCTCTTCTACGTGACCTTCCTCGTCCTCATTCCTCCCTCTTGTTCTGTCTCATCCAACTTGCTCCCCCTCCCCCTGGCGCCCTGCTTCTCTTCCTCCTCCTCCAAGGACGACGATGGCCACGACAGCGCCGACGTGGACCACGACAACGTCGAAGACGACGACGACGACGACGACGGCTGTGGCGACGACGGCGACGACGGTGGCGGCGGCAACGACGACGACGCACGACGCATGACGACGCCCACGCCCATGCCCACCCCCACGCCCACGCCCACACACGACGACGACAACGACGACGGCGACGACGACGACGACGACGACGACGACGACGACGACGACGACGACGACGACGAGCGGCAACGCGGCAACGCGGCAGCGCGGCAGCGCTGTCGCGCGCGGCGGCGAGCCGAGCTCCCGAGAGGCCACCGCCCGCGAGGAGGCCGTGGCGCCCGTGACCGCGGCGCTGCAGGCGCAGGCGACCCTGGCGGCGTTTCTGCTCGGCGCCGTGGCGCCCTGTACAGGAGGCTCTCCAATCGCGACATGCCAGCAAGTGCTCCATGGGAAATTACAGTCGGGGCGCAGAAGAAGGAACCTTTTCCGTTGGGGAGGGGCTAGCTGTTCCTTAAATCGTTTCCCAACTTGCCTAAGGTTTTCCTCAGGTTTTTGTTCGATGGGAAGCCGACGTTTTCATTTGTGGATAAATATGGGGCCTCGTTCCTGATTTCGGGTTGTGCAGGTCAAGGACCCGACTGTACCGAGCCCCGGCGGGCCCAGAAGCCCCTGAGCTGAGGCGCTTCGCAAAGCCTAAAAAGTGTCGACGGGCAACGCGCCCCCTGCAGATGTCCTGTACGTCGCAGTCTCTCGTGCCGCACGTGCACCTGCTGCCCGTCTGCGCCCTGGCCTCTCGGCCTGCCCGCGCCGTGCGGCAGCTGGCGCCGCGACCACGACGACGACTACGACCACGACGACGACGACGACAGACGACGACGACGAGAGACGACAGACGACGACGACGAGAGACGACAGACGACGACGACGACGACGACGACGACGACGACGACGGCGACGACGACGACGACGACGACGGCGACGACGACGACGACGACGACGACGCGACGCGGCACTGCAAACGCATCCGAGAGCCACGGCCCGCCCGCGCCGGGCGACCGCCGGCGCCGCGACCGCAGACCACCGCACGGTGCACTGCAGGCGTCGAGTCGGGCATGTCCCCCCCTGCAGGAGGAAAACTCAAGAACAGTCAAAACATACACCTTAGGCGATGCTTAAGAAAACCCAAGTTTTCGGCCAGGGTCTCGATTATTCTTAACTTTTTCAATGTACATCCCAAGATGTTGATAGAAGTTCTGGGTTTTATTCAATTTCTGAGACTATGAATTTCTTAACCCATGATTTCTTAAGCATTTCGCAGGGTGTAGTCTGGGGGCGATTTGTTCTGTGACTATCCTTGGCAGCTTTTGGGTCACTTGTTGGCTGAATTCGGAGTTTCGCCCAAAGTCCGCCTGCACGAGGACGGGCCCGACCTAATGCAAGCGCGTCCGAGAGCCACGGCTTGCCTTCGCGGCCGCGCTCGCGCGCGGACCCCCCCAGGGAGCCGAGCTGGCGCGCGCCTGCTGCCAGACCCGCGAGACGCTGCCTCTCTCGCCCGCGGGGCCGCAGGCCCCCGGGGCATCCCGTAGGCGGGCGGAGGCACGGGCTGGCGCTGGCCCCCCCCCCAGCTTGCGAGCGTCTCGGGGTGAAAAGCCAGCCCCAGGGGTCAGGGCGGGACGTGCTGAGGCAACACGGGAGACGACGTGTGCGGGCCAGGGCAGGGGCGGCGCGGCCCAGAAAAGATGGCAGGGCGGAAGTGTGCCGGCGCTCTCCTCCGCGAGGCCCCGTGGGCCCCAAGACCCCCGGCGAACAGCAATCGATCGGGTGTAGCCAGGACCCCAGGCAAGGGGACCCGGTTGGCGGTAGGGCCCCGGGGCCCTTGAATTGGCAACAATCGCTAAACCAGGTCTGCCGTAGCTGGTGTTTTTCGGGTGACGCCAGTTCCGATTAGTGGAATGGGGCGGGGGGCCTCCCCCAGTACACATCACTAAACCATGTTCCACTAAACCCAGTTCTGCCAACGCCCGAGTCGAGGCCGTTACACGTTTCTTGTGTTCGGTTGCTTTTTGTCTTTGCGCCTCGACGATCGACTTCGTTTGTGGGAGTGCGCAGCAGTGTAGTGCACATACGACGCGCGGCGCTCGCCCTTCGTCTGGTGTGCGCCTTACCCCAGGAGAATGATCGCCTGACCCCTTTCCAGTCACCCTGAGGCTGTGTAAGGCTTCTTGTCGCGGGGGAAATCCGAGAGCAATAATTTGAGCAAGTGCGAGTCACTGTTGGGATTGTACAGATCGTGCAATTCTGCAATTATGCACGAGATGTGGCAGGTCAAGCCGCAGACCGCAGCCGTGAAAAGTGGTGTGCGCAGCTCTCCACAGATTTTCGCAGACCGCTGCGACACGTTTGTGCCTCCCGTGCCCGCGCATGACCCCTGGGCTGGCAGAGTCCTGAGTTCGTGGGCTCCTGCTATAGCTTGCAATCGCTGCGCGTCCTGCACCTCATAGTGCCCCGTTTACATGCTCGGAGTGTGTACAGCGCACATGTTGGCACACTTCAACTTGCAAAGGGGATGCATTTCGCCATGCCCCAAAGGCGTTTGTGTCTCGACGCCTTGGAGGCTGCTATCTGGATAGGATATCTGGGCTCGTCATTGTTCCAAGGCATCAGGGCAGGAGGATTCCCCCATTGAGTTGCCCGCCCCTATGTCCCCAGTCTAGTTCGTTGGAGGAGGCGGTGGGAGGTGGTGGCAGAGGAGACAGGGGAGAGAGGAGGATAAAGTAAGAGCGATGGGGGTAAAGAAGAAGATGATAATGATGATGATGAGGAGGAGGAGGAGGAGACGGGGGAGGAGGAGGAGGAGGAGGAGGAGGAGGAGGAGGAGGAGGAGGAGACGGGGGAGGGATGGAGAGACAAGAGCATGGGTGGAGAAGGCGCGTGGAGGTTCAGGGAACGGGAGGAGGGGGGAGGGGGCGGAGGGAGGAGGAGGGTCAGGCGGAGGACGTGCAGGGATGCCCGAGGAGACACTGCCCTCCCGCTCGCGCGCAGCCGAGGCGACCAGCGGGAGCGCGGGCGAACCCGCCGAGAAGCCCGCCATCGGGGACGACAGCTCCGATGACTCGGGCGCGGCGCTCGGGCTGCCGTCCCATGGCGCCCACACCGCAGAGCGGGTTTCGTTCGGAAAACGATAGGATGGGCCTGGAGGGTCCTGGATAATTTCGTTCCAGAATTCGAGGGGGATTTCGCGCGGCTTCTTGCTGGCCAGGAATGAAGACTAAACAAATCCAAGCGAAATGCACTTCGTTTTTTATTCGCCGCTTCAAGGTTTTACATGGACAGAAGTCCACGCACAAATCCGCTGCAGCACGTCTGCAAGGGCGCCGCGCTCGGGCTGCAGTCGCGCCGCTCGCCGCCGCCGCCGTTGCGGTCGTCGCCTTCTTGTCGTCGGGGAGCGGCGCGGAGTGCTCGCGCGCTCCCTTGCGCTCGGGCTCCTCCTCCGGCCTCCCCCATGTTGCCCCTCGAGGCAACAGTCGCGCCGGGGCCTCTTCCCTACAAAGCTTGTCTGTACGCTTGTTGATATATGGATGATGAGCCTGTTTTCCACTTTCACCACCACCATAACTTGGAGGGTGAAGTCGGAGGAGTGCGAGGAGGAGGAGGAGGAGGAGGAGGAGGAGGAGGCGGAGGAGGAGGAGGAGGAGGAGGAGGAGAAGGACCACCACCCCTCCAATTGTTGGTGGTGGTGGTGGTGAAAAACACGCCCATCAATGGATACGTAGCACCGCGCAGATGCAGATAAGAGTGAGGGGACGGTGAGGACGTCGGCAGTCTGCGAGACTCTGGAGAAGCCCGCCGCAGGCGCCAAAGTTCCACAAATTATACAACGAGCCCGCCGCAGGCGCCGATTTTGTCTGGATCGGTCGCGGGTGGGTCGCGGGTTGGTGGCGGGGTGGGTCGCGGGTGGTCGCAAGTGAGTCTCGGGTGGGTCGGGTGGGTCGCGGATGGGTCGCGGGGTGGGTGCGCGGGGTGGGTCGCGGGTGGGTCGCGGGTGGGTCGCGGGTGGGTCGCGGGTGGGTCGCGGGTAGGGTGGGTCGCGGTGGGTCGCGGGGGGTCGGTCGCGGGGTGGGTCGCGGGTGGGTCGCGGCGGGTGGGTCGCGGGGTGGGTCGCGGGGTGGGTCGCGGGGTGGGTGGCGGGGTGGGTCGCGGGTGGTCGCCCGGTGGGGTGGGTCGCGGGGGGTCGCGGGGTGGTCGCGGGCGGGTCGCGGGGTGGGTCGCGGGTGGGTCGCGGGTGGGTCGCGGGTGGGTCGCGGGTGGGTCGCGGGGTGGGCGCGGGTGGGTCGCGGGTTGGGTCGCGGGTGGGTCGCGCGGGTGGGTCGCGGGTGGGTCGCGGGGTGGGTCGCGGGGTGGGTGCGGGTGGGTCGCGGGTTGGGCGTGGGTGGGTCGCGGGGTGGGTCGCGGGGTGGGTCGCGCGGTTGGGTCGCGGATGGGTCGCGGGGTGGGTCGCGGGGTGGGTTGGGGTGGTCGCGGGTTGGGCCGTGGGTGGGTCGCGGGGTGGGTTGCGGGGTGGGTCGCGGGGTGGGTCGCGGGGTGGGTCGCGGGGTGGATCGCGGGTTGGGTCGCGGGGTGGGTCGCGGGGTGGGTCGCGGGGTGGGTCGCGGGGGGGACAATGACAACCAACAACAGCAACAATAACAACAACAACGCAACAAGCATAATCCTCACCATGAGGTGTCACTTAAGCTACGCAGCTAGGGACAATGAATGGCCGTTCGCCCCCCTCTCTCTGATATGAATATATATGTAGATATATATATATATATACATACATACATATACATACATACATACACAGATACACATCTGTCGCAGTGAGGGGCTTCCGCTCACGCGAAGCCATTTTTCACGTTGTGCGCGCCGTCGGGGGAGGCCAACGTGGTCGCGCTGATCTGATCATTATTAGTAGTATGAGTGCGATTATTATTCGCATTCGCAGTATTATCAGCATAATTATTCCTCGCATTCGTCATGCTGATGATTATTAGTATTGCTATTTTCAGCATACTTATTATCATTCGGATTCGTATTATTATGATGATTACTATTATTAGTAGTAGTACTAGTAATGCAATGTTCCTTCTTCTTCTTATTATTATTGTTCGTATTATGATTATTCCTATTCTTCCTCTTCTTCTTCCCAGCTCCGGAGAGAGTGCCCGGCGGACCCGGCCGGGGGGGAGCCCGCGCGCAAGCGTGGGGGCCCCGGAGGGGCGGGTCCCTCGGGGGGCCCGTGGCGTGGCCGGGGCCCGTCGCCGCGGGGCCCACGGGTGGTGCTGGCGAGGAGGAGGAGGAGGAGGAGGAAGAGAAGGAGAAGGAGGAGGAGGAGGACGAGGAGGAGGAGGAGGAGGCGGAGGAGCAGGAGGTGGAGGAGGAGGTGTGGGGGCCCCCTCGCGGGGGGCCCGCGGTGCCGAGGGGGGCCCATCGCAGCGGCGCCCGGGTGGCGCTGGTCTTGGCTTCGCGGAAGTTCTAGGCTTCAGTCGGGCTTGTCCCTCTGCGGGAGAAGTAATCAAGAATATTCAGAAAAGAAGAGTCTGGGGACAATTTTTTTAGCATGTTTCGGGTATGTTGGGCCATGTTCTGGGTATGTTTCATTTTTCGCCGAAAATCCTTTTGTAGGGGGACATGCCCGACCTAATTCTAGGCCGCCTGGATGGGGTCGGAGTAGATGGGGTCGGGGGATCACACCGCATCGCCGATGCATCGCTGATGCGCTCGATGTGCAGCCTGAGTTGCTTTACGTCGACGTCGCCGATACATCGCCGACGTCGACGAAGCATCGTGGGTGCATCGCCGATGTATTGGCGATGCTGCGCGCTCCTCCGACCGCATCTACTCCGACTCCACCGAGGAGGCCTCTAGAAATTAAGTGTTGCAAAGTGAAACATAGGCGCCTGCGCCGGGCTACTTCAGTGAATGTTCTGCTCCATGTTGTTTCAGTAGCCCGTCCGGGGGGCCCGGGGCTCGTCGCCGCCCACGGGTGGCGCCGACCTTGGTCGCGCAGAGATGCAGCAACGCTGAAGGTCAAAAAAATTGTGCCTGCGGCGGGTTTCTTCTTTGAGTGCTTCGCTGAACTTGTTTCAGTGACCCGTCTGGGGGGGGCCGCGGCGTCGAGGGGGCCCGTAGGTGGCGCCGGTCTTGGCTGTGCAGAACTGAATGCTCAAAATTACAAAGTCGGCGCTTGCAGCGGGCTTCTTTTTTGAATGTTTTGTTAACTGTTCCCAAGCAGGCCCCGGAGCAGAGGAGCAGGAGGAGAAGGAGGAGCAGAGGGCGGAAAAGGAGGAAATGGAGGAGGAGGAGGAGCAAACGGAGGAGGAGGGCTGTGAATGAGGGAGGAGGAGGAAGAGGAGGAGGAGGAGGAGGAGGTGGAGGATGATGATTATGATGATGATGATGATGAGGAGGAGGAGGAGCCCCACGGCACGTGACGCCCTCCGGCCGCCGGCGCGCTTCAGGCGAGGACGTGTCCATGCAGCTGTTCAAGAAGATGGTGAAGGCGGGCCCCGCGAAGGGGCTCAGGAGGGGAGCCGCGGGCCGCGCTCCCTCTTCCTTCTGCCTGTGGGCGTCGGTTCAACGAAGGGGAGGCATGCTGCCAAGTAATTTCCAGATGTCTAAACATGTCAAAACTATGTGCAAGCATGGTGCTAAGCATGTTCAACTCATGTCCAACAATGCTCCAAGCATGTGCTAAACATGCGAAACGCCTGTTCTAAACATGGTTAGAACCTTTGAAAGCAAACGCACACCTTGAAACACACCTTTAGTTCAATGATGGGATTGTTTGCGTGTCCATTGTCATGGCATCCACAGCCTTTTGCGCTCTGGACCCTCCCTCTGTGCTGGGACGGGCCCTCGCTTTGAAGCCGCAGCTCCCCGCGGCTCCCGCCTCCCCCTCCTTGCCGTTCTCTCTCCACATCCCCTCTCCCCCTCGGAGGAGGGAAAGGCACTTCATGTCACTACCCTTTGCCCGTTTTCCCCTTGTCGGGCCTCCCCGGGGGCCTTCGCCGCCACCGCTGGATTCGCCTCGAAGTTCTGGTCAGGACGCACCCCTGGAGAGGCCCGGGGAGTAGCAGCATTGGTACACGTTGGTTTCCCCACTCCCCTCCTTGCCTCCGGCCTCGCATGCCACTTTCGGCAGACCCGTCACACGCTTCGTGGCTCCGTGGGGAGCAACCGCATGCCCCAGTGGGAAAGGCCAGCTGCTGGGCGGGCCGATTTCGGCACACACACACACACACACACACACCCTTCGCGCGTTTCGGGGCCCCGTTGGCAGCTCCACCGAAGGCCCTGGCAGGAAATGTCGCATGGCGGCGGTGCCCCGCTTTCGGCACACCCCTCACACGCTTCGTGTCCCCATAGGGAAGTTCACCGGAGGCCCCAGCGGGCGGGTTCGCAGGCGGTCTGGGAATCCATGTCGCCATATTTCGCACGGGATTCTTGGCCCCAAAGCATTGCTGAATATCCAAGTGGGCGAGTTCGAGTGCAGTCTGGAGGTCATTTCGGCCCCCCTTCGCATGTTTCGTGCTTCAGAGGGAGCGTCGCCGTAGGATCAAGTTTGCGCGCTCGCATGCGCTCGGAGGTAAACGTAGTAGGCACACACCCTCACACGTTTCGTGGCCCCGCAGGGAGCTCCACCGAATGCCCCAGTGGCAGAGCCCATGGCGGTGTCCCCATGTTGGCACGTTCACACGTTTCGGCCACACAGGGAGCTCCACCGAAGGCCCCAATGGGAGAGGCCATGAAATGCCGCAAGGCGGTCCCGGGGGCCATTTCGGCACAACTCTCGAGCCCGATGTGACTGCTCCATGGGTTCTACCTCCTCCTCCTCCTCCTCCTCCTCTTTTTCCTGCTCGCCCTCCTGCTGGTCCTGCTCGTCCTCCTCCTTCTCCTCCTCCTCCTCCTGCTCCTTCTCTCCTCCTTCTCATTCCTCCTATCTCCTCGATGCTGGCGGGGGTGTTGGATCCTCAGACGTGGTAATAGGGCTGGATCTTTCAGTCGAGGATGCTGGAACTTCAGACGAAGTCCTTGCTGCCCGCGAGTTGCGAGCCCGAGCCCGAGCCCGAGCCTGAAACCCAACACCACGGGACTGATGCCCTTGCTGGGGCCGTTGGAGGCGGGCGGGGATCCGGGCTCGCTGGAGGGCCGCCTGGCGAGTCTGGGCCTGGTGGCCGCGAGGGGCCCGTCAGCTTCCGGGACCCTGCCATCCGGCATCCTCCGCAACGCAACGCCCGATCGGCCCAGGGCCGGTCCTGAAACAGAGCGCTGGAATACATGTGCACGGCGACGATACCTTTGGAAGGCAGTCGATCACGAACGAACAACACGCACCCATACCCATAGGGGGGTCGTTGGGAGGAGGACTGGCTATGGGTATGGGTGCGGGTTGTCGGACCCTGGGGAACGCTCCCGTTCGAGCGGGGACCCCCATCCGACAACACGTACCCATAGCCCTCTCCGATCCCACTATGGGTATGGGTGTGTGTTGTTGGTTCGTCAGTCGACCCGCAAGATAAGGATGGGCAAGCTTCCCCAGGGTGCCCTTGCATCCTTCCCTCCTCGGTGCATCATTGGCCACTTTCGTTGGCCGCGCCCCGCTCGAGAAGCTTCGAGACGGCCTTCCAAGGCCCTTGCATCCTTATCGTGCGTCCTTTTGATACGGGCCGACTGCACCTCCGAGCACAAGACTCAGCAGCATAGCAGACCAATCCAGGAGTCAATCAGTCCGTCCCAGGACTAGGCCGTGCCCAGGGTTCCCTTCAAAGAGCCTATGCGGCCTCGAAGACCACTCGGCCGCCGAGTCGGCAGCCCAAAGTGCTCAATCCCGAGATGCTCGCGGGAATTGGACCCGCTCGGCGGCCGAACGAGGTCTGGGTCCGTTCGGCGGCCAAATCGACTTAGGATGTGAGGAGTGCCAAGCAACGCAGAGCAAAGCAATGCCAACGAATCCCAGTAATGATTGGTTACCCACTCAGTAAGCCTTCCCCAAATTGGGGTGGCGCCGGTTTCCTTATTTGATCGCCAAGGGGCTTGCAAGCGGCCTCAGGACGCGGACATTGTCAACAGATCTGGCTAGCAGGGAGGTCGAGGTCGAGGACGAGGACGATTGGGGGGGATGCAGAAGTGGTGGCGAAAGGAGGAGGAGGAAGAAGAGAGAGAGGCAGCAGCAGAGGAGAACGAGAAAGGATTGGGGAGGCGGGGGATAATGAGAAGGTTGAGGAGCACGAGATGGTGGAAGAGGAAGAAGGGAAGAGACAACGTCGAGGTGCTGTCTGGGGAGAATGAAGGGGACGACGACGAGTGTGATGAGAGGAGGGCGGGAGCAGCAAGGGAAGGAGGAGGAAGATAAGAAGAGAGAGATGAAGAACGGAAAGGAGTGAAGGCATAAAGCCAAATGCTACTCTGGCGCCGAAGAACATGCTCCTCCCAAAGTGCTGTGATCAATAATGGGCAGGAAGTTCGTGAACAGTCTCCCATTCGAGCTGTTTTTCGGCTTCCTGATTGTGTTCAACACCCTGATACTGACCCTCCAAGTGCAGTACAACGGCCAGCCTTGGGAAAAATGGAAACGACAAAAGGCGTGGGGCGCAGTATGAAGGGAAAGCGCAAGACGAGGCAACCTTGCACTCGTTCAGCACATGGTCGGATGGATACGTCTCCTTACCGCATGATCTGTCTTGCCTTCCCTCTACACTTTTCCCTCCCCTTTCATTGCCTGGGTGATGGGGCAACGTTGCTTAGAAGTGTCCGAGCGAGTAACCTTTCCACGGCCACGGTCTTTTCCCTAGCACTGTCTCAAGGATCGGTTCGCCAGCTTGGACGCAGATTCGAAGTACGAGGCCGAAGCGGAGCGAAGCACAAGCCGACGAGGGAAGTTCCCAGATCTCCGGCTCTGTGAGTTGTTAAGTTGGCCCCAGAGCTCTCCATCCATTCCCCAGTGTGTTGTCTGGGATCTTTTTTTGATTGTCCAGCGCCCGAAGTCGGGGGCTGCAAATGGTGCTGCAATCACACCGTGTGGTGCGTCAGTGGGGATTCGGGGTCACCGCGCGGTTTCGGGACCAGGTTGGTCTCCGCTGAGATCTCGGGCGACGGGGGCCTCGAATGTCCCAAGACGGTGCGGTGAGGTCCTTCGGGATTTTGAGGTCACCGCCAACGATAACGATACCAATAACGAGAAGAACGATCACAACGATAACGAGCACAACGACCACAACGATAACGATAACGATGACAACGAGGACGATAACGATAACGAACACAATGAGAACGGTAACGATCAACGACCAATGCTGTTCTCCTGATGCCACCACACGGCCTGGGGACTCCCCAGAAGAAAAAACGGCCCTCTGGACATGGTGAAATATCGACAGGGAGCACGCTCGGGTGGAAAAACACAAGCCCGACGTCCGAGGTCCGGGCCCTCGGAGGGCTCCTGGAGCGGGGCCACATGGCGGACGCGCCCTCTGGGTGCCGCAATCCTCCGCCTCCTCCTCCTCCTCCTCCTCCTCCTCCTCCTCCTCCTCCTCCTCCTCCTTCTCCTCCTCCTCCCCCTCCCCCTCCCTCTCCTCCTCCCCCTCCGCCTCCTCCTCCTCCTCCTCCTCCTCCTCCTCCTCCCCCTCCTCCTCCTCCCCCTCCTCCTCCTCCTCCTCCTCCTCCCTCCTCTTCCTCCTCCTCCTCCTCCTCCTCCTCCTCCTCCTCCTCCTCCTCCTCCTCCTCCTCCGGGGTGCGTTGACATGGTCGGCGGGCGGGCGCGTGGGAACGTGCACGCTGGGGCCGTCGTTGGAGCGTCCCATTGGGCACGGAGACTGTGCGGCGGATATGTCGAATTGAGCGGGGGGGCGCATGCGAGCGGGCCCACGGGGGCCGTCGTTGGAGCTTCCTGTGGAGCACGCAAATTGCGCGAAGGGCTCCTCGAAGATGGCGAGGGGCCCCCATGTGGACGTGCCTCGGTGGTTGGGGCTCCTCGTGGGGCACGGAAAGCTGTGCGATGCGCGTGCCGGATCATCAGGTGAGGCGACTCCATGCGGACGTGCGTTTTGGGGTCTTCGCTGGAGCTTCCTGTGGGGCACACGAGCTATGTGAGGGTGCACAGACTGGGGCGATGGGGACCGCATGCGGACGTGCCCGGTGAAGCCGAACTTGGAGGCGTGTCGCAGTTAGAGCTCCAGGCTCGCTAGTCGGACTTGTCGGTTTCGGGCGGGTGCCAGGGCGTGCCGCAGGACGACCGCGAAAATGGTGTACACGCGTGCACTTTTCAGTATTTGTCTTCGCTCGATGCTTAGCGCAGCCATGTGCTCCCAGGCCAGACCCCTCAGTGAGGGAAAGTCCAACACGCGCCACTTCGCCGTATCCTTCGCTGAAGGCTTCGGCCAAGCGCCTTGCATGGGTGTCGGCTGTGTTTGGTCCCCACGGGGCGCTTTGCCTGTACGTCTCCCCTCGGGCTCCGCCTCCCCGCACGTCTGCCAGCGAGCTGCGAGCACGCGTGCCCCAAGATTACTCGAGTGTTCTGCACATGCCTTCCCACGCGTCGCCCAGGTGCCTGCGACGTGTGCCTTCCCCCGCCTTCCTGGCCCCTCATCGCCCGCTCCATCTACTTGAGGCAGCCCCAGCGTGCACGCAAACGTGTTGCCATCTTCGGGGAATGCATCTTTTGCTTCAGCCGGCTTCCGCCAGCCTTCCGCCGGCTTGCCCCGGCGGAGGCGCCCTCGTTTTCCTTCCGCTTCCTTCCGGCAAGGAAGAGATGACAAATTCTCGATCCCTCGAAGACGAGGCCCTCTTGGCCTCTTGGGATTACTCAAGTAGAGGGAGGAGGAGGCGGAGGAGGAGGAGGAGGATGCAGGAGGAGGAGGAGGAGGAGGAGGAGGAGGAGGAGGAGGAGCAGGAGGGAGGAGTTGGAGGAGGAGGAGGAGAATGAGGAGGAGGAGGAGGACGAGGAGGAGAAGGAGGAGGAGAGGGGGGAGGGGGAGGGAGGAGGAGGAGGATGATGATGATGAGGAGAGAGGAGGAGGAGGAGGAGGAGGAGGAGGAGGAGGAGGAGGAGGAGGGGGGGAGGAGGAGGAGGAGGAGGAGGAGAGAGGATGGAGGAGGAGAAGGAGCTGGAGGAGGAGGAGGAGGTCCTCCTCATCGACCCGCTGCCCCTGCTCATGCTTCACTGCTTCCCCACTGCCACGCCACCCTCCCTGCCTGCCTGGTGCCACCTGGGCGGGCAGGCCAGCAAGGAAGGGAGGGAGTGAGCCAGGGAGGGATTGGGGCAGGATCGAGATCTAGCTTTTATCGGGGGCGGCCAAGAGGGGGGTGATGACAAGGCGGGGTGATACCATGGCGTGGGCCATGGCATCTCCCCAGATTTCATGGCGCCTCTTCTTGTGTCAGTGCCTCCCTGGCCCCCCTCCCCCTGGGCCGCGCACATGCCGCCGGCCATGATTTGCGCCCCCCCCCCTCTTGGACGCCGCTCTCCTTGGCCGCCGCCGATTGTACACACGTGTGTTGAAACATTCGAGTCACGACGATCCCAAATCAGACACTCCTGGAGACAGCATCGTTGCTACTGCTGGCAGCGCCGCAGGGGGTTACGCCCGCGCTCGGAGACGTCCCTCACAATTCGGGCAGTCAGGAAGATGTCTCCGAAAGTGTGGCCGTTACTCACGGAAGGAGCGTGGCAGCGTCGTGGCGACAGTTGACGCCCTACCGGGCACCCCTGGCGGCCAGCAGACCACGCAAGGAGAGACAGGGCCCGATAGGCCAGGAGGGCACGGAACGGTCGCGACATCGGACTCGCAGATAGAAGCAGGACCCGTTGGGCCATCCCTCAGCTGCAGCAGTCCCCCGGGAAGTCCACGGGTGGACGTGCGCCACAGCGCGTTCTCCCCATGCAGTACTTGAGGCTGGCGTTCGCGGGGCGCCGTTGACGGCAACACCACTCCCTTCGCCTTCCGGGACTTCGCCCTCGGTTCCTGTCCAGGGCGTACCTTTTCCTGCACATCCGCTTCGGCACCGCCTGCTCCCCGGGCCCCGCCCGCTCCTGGCCGCCCGAGGACCCGCCTTCCTGTGCCCTGTCTCCCTGATGAAGCTGTGCGTGGCCCGCCCAGCTTTTAGCGGAAGAGGTTCGCTCTCGCCCCGCAGATCCAAACGCGTGCTGAAACATCCGAGGGCTTCGGGGGGCCTCTCTGGAGGCCCTTGAGGACCCCATATGCGGAGACGTCCGAGGGGCCTTCGGGCACCCGCAGAGGCCCCCGAGGAGGAGGGGGGGAGGAGGCACAGGCGGAGAGCTGGATGGATGGGCAGGCGGGTGCACACCCTGAGGGACGGACGCGCGCCCGAATGATGGGCCCTGGCCTCAGGCTTCGACCTTGGCTACAGCTTGGACTACGGGAGGTACGAGCGGCCGGCGAAGAAGGAGCGCCCCTCTCCTTCTGCTTGGCCAGTGTCCAGGGGCACCCTGGGATGAAGTATCCCGCGGCGTCTTCGACGGGGCGGGAGGCAGGAATGGGGAGCGCTGGGGAGAGAGGAGAGGGCAGGGGCATCAGGGGCAGGCTTCTGCAGGCGACTCCGAGTCTCGATCTGTCGCCGACTTGCGGGAGCTCCTCCTGGTCGCTTCCGCGCGCGGGGCAGCCTTGCGAGGACGGGGGTGCCGAGATGCGACGGCTCTCAATTGTGTGCTTTCGCCGGCTAAGGGGCCACATGCGAACCCTACCCCCTGCCCCCTGCCCCTCAGACATCGTGGGGGGCAGGGGGTTGGGTTCGCACGTGGCCCCCTAGCCGGCGGCGCTGGACCCTGCCCCGAGGAAGGCGCGCTGCGCCCCTTCCCCGAGGATGGCGGAGCCGGCCGACCGTCGGCCGGGCGTGGCCGGCCGGGCGCGTCCTGAGAGCCGAGGTCGGCTTCATGTAAGGGCTCCTCCCTCCTGCCTCCTCCCCCTCCCTCCTCCCCCCTCCCTTCATCCTCCCCTCCCTCCCTCCTCCCCTCCTCCTCCTCCTTCCCTCCTCCTCCTCCTTCTCCGTTTCCCCTCCTCCTCCTCCTCTTCCTCCTTTTTCCTCCTCCTACGCTCTCCTCTCCTCCTCCTCCTCCTTCCTCTCCCTCCTCATCCACCTTCCTCCCTCCCTCTACCTCCTCCCTCCTCCCTCCGCCTCCTCCTCCTCCTCCTCCTCCTCCTCCTCCTCCTCCTCCTCTTCCTCCTCATCCTCCTCGTCCTCCTCCTCCTCGTCCTCCTCCTCCTCCCGGAGAGACCTTTGTGGTGCGGGCCCAGAAGGATTGCCCTAGCAGTGCCCTGAAGCGAGTTGCGCGCTCGGAGTTGGCACCCGCTTGAGATGTTTGTTGGGGGGACCTTTCCTGGGGCCCACCTGACGGATCTGTGCGACTCTAGTTTGACCCCATTCCGATTCAAGATCGACTCATGTTCGACTCAAGTTCGGCTCAGGGGCGACTCAGGTTTGACTCAAGGTCGGCTTAAATCGACGGACGTTCGACGCGGCTTCGACGCACGAGTGTAGCGAGTGTCTCCAGGAAGGTCCCCAGAATACACCGCCCACCAAACCACCGCAACCCAACCCGAATGCCCCGATTTGCCCTCCATTTCCGGTGGGGGGGTCGGGGAACATTGAAAAACCATATGAATCCCATCCCCCCCGCAACCCGATATTCGGGCGAAATTCGGGTCTTCGGGTTGGCTTGGGGTGGTCTGGTAGGTAGTCAAGAATGAACATCCAACCCGCTGAGTCGCGCACCAGGTGTCGCTCTTGCCTAAAGGTAGGGTCACTCCTGCGTGCAGCCGGCGAGGGGGGCCTGGAGCCGGCCGGTGCACGCTGTCCCTCTGCGGGGACGTGGCCTGAATCAAGCAGTGGCGAAGCGTCCTTTGGCTCGCCTGTGGGCCCACCAAACACTGTTCTAAGAACCATTTGTTCCAGGCCTCCTGGATGGAGTCGGAGTTGATGGGGTCGAAGGATCGCGCCGCATCGGCGATGCATCGGCGATGCATCGGCGATGCGGCTCGATGCGGAGTCCGATTTTCTTCACTCCGACGTCACCGATGCACTGCCGACGTCGCCAGTGCATCGCCGACGCAGCGCGATCCTTCGACCCCATCTACTCGGACCCCATCTAGGAGGCCTCTATTTGTGATATGTGCGACATGTTCTTAGAACATGTCTGGCTGATATTGTCTTGTCTTAACACATCGGGCCGATACTCCAAGGGCATGGCTCTTGTTCTTAGACCAGCTCTGGGCTGTGAGAGCATGCCGCGGCAGCCCTGCAGGAAGGCTGGGGCGATCGGTCCCTGCTCAGCTCGAGGCAGCCCCAGAGCGGCCAGGATCCATCAAGCCGACTACACGTGGGCGATTTCGGAAACTCTGAACCCAAGAACATTTCCGTCTCTTGGTTGGGGACGCGTTTTTTTATTTCCGCAACCTTCCTCTTCCGCCAGCGGAGGCGGCCTCGTTTTGCTTCCGCCGACCTTCCGCCGCCCTCCCGCCGCCTTCCGCGGCAGAAGTTATGACAAATCCTTCGATCCTCGAAGGCAAGGCTCTTTTTGGACCCCCCACGTAAGAGTACCGGGCCGAACGAAAGGGGGGGATAGGGAAAGGGGGGGGTACGACATCTGCTGCATGCAGCTAGGTTTCGGCCCCGCCGCTGGGCCCAGTCCTCGATACGTGGGCGCCTCCCGGCGCTGGGAGGCGCCGTGAAAATCAGCCACGTGAGCTGATTCTACCCCCCCCCCCTTTGCTACCCCTCCCTTTCGCCTGGCCCGAGAGAGACCCCTCGCTGGAGTGACCTCTGGTGCGGGCCCAGGCCCCCCCCCCCCGAAGCGACGAGTGCGATGCGAGAACGGCGGCCTGCGCGCTTGGGTTCGGCACCCTCGCGCAGCCCCAAGGCCACGCACCAGAGATCCTTCCCCGAGAGGAATGGCTAGGAGGAGGAGGAGGAGGAGGAGGAGGAGGAGGAGGAGGAGGACGACGAGGACGAGGAGGAGGAGGAGACGGAGGAGGAGAGGAGGAGGAGGAGGAGGAGGAGGAGGAGGAGGAGGAGGAGGACGACGAGGACGAGGAGGAGGAGGAGGAGGGGGGGAGGGAGAGGAGGAGGAGGAGGAGAGGAGGGGAGAGGGGCGTGGGAGGAGGAGGAGGAGGAGGAGGAGGAGGAGGAGGAGGAGGAGGAGGAGAGGAAGGAGGAGGAGAGTAGGAGGAGTAGGAATAGGAGTAGGAGGAGACTGAGGAGGAGGAGGAGGAGGACGAGGACGAGGAGGAGGAGGAGACGGAGGGGGAGGAGGAGGAGGAGGAGGAGGAGGAGGAAGACGAGGAGGAGGAGGAGGCGGTGGCTCTGCGCAGTACGCACCTCTGCAGGCAGCGCGATCCACCAAGTCTGCTCCCAACACTCCGGCCGTGGCACGAGGGAGCAGGGATCGGGGGCCCCCAAACGGGGTGGTGACCACACCGTGCGGTGAGTTGGTGGGAATTCGGGGTCACCGCACGGTTTTGGGACTCGGGTCGTTCTCCGAGGACGTCTCGGGCGACTGGGGCCCCCGAGGTCCCAAAACCGTGCGCTGACGGACCGTGCGGTGAGGTCTTGGAGGGTTTTGAGGTCACTGCACGGTCTGTCACCGCACCGTTTCGGGATTCCAAAAGGGAGGGGATGGGATGGGCGCCCAGGGATAGCCTTAAGTCGGGCCTTTCCCTCTACAGGAGGAAGATTCAAACATAGTCGCACAGCAGTCCAGGGGCGATGTTTGGACTGTGTGTCAATCTTATTGGAGCATGTTGGGTGTATTTCTATTTCTTCCTTCAAAGTCCCCGTGCAGGGGGACAGGCCCGACCTAGTCTTATGCGCAGCCGATCAAGGGATGGATCGTCCCCCCCGCCGCCTTCCTTCGATCTCGGCTGCCGTGAGCCGTCTTGTCGGCCCACCCCGGGGCCACCAAGCCGACGGGGGGCCTGGAGAGGGCAGTGCTCGTTTCCCCTCTAGGGGGCGCGGCCTCAAGGCAGCCCCAGAAAAGGCCAGGATCCATCAAAGGTGGGATCGCCAGCCCCGCCGCCTTTTCCTTCGATCTCGGCCTCCGTGGGCCGTTTCGTCGGCCCCCCCGGGGCCACCAAGCATGTTGATGCGGAGGGCAGGCTGCTCCAGGGAAAGAGGGGTCGAGAAGGCCCCTGGGGCCCCGCGGATGGGAAGGAGCCGATCCGTCGCAGACCTAGGGCTACAGTGGAGATCCATGCCAAGAAACACCCTGCTTGCCTCCAGGATGCCCTGGGTTTCTTGGATCTCGATGGTTTTGTTACGGAAAGCGCGACGGTCCCACCAAAAATCTATCATCGTCTTGGGGTCTCCGGGTTGAGTTTCTTGTGGAAGGTTCCTTGTGAACGAGCCCCTATCCTGCCCAGAGCGGTTCCTAAACCACTCCGGCCCGTGGAATGCCTCCTCCGGGCGCGTGCCCCACAGAGGCTCGGTGACTCAGAAGAAAGACAAGCAGCGGGTTGGGGGGATGGGGTTGGGAGAAGCGATCAGATCGTCCGTATTATCGCGTATGTTGAATGTGTTCAGTGCAGTCGTGCCCTGTATCTTCCCCACCCCGTCCTCATAAGCCGATGATCCTTTTTCGCAGTTATGCGAGTGGTCATTCTGCTGGTGATGTGGGATCGGATGCGCCGAGCAGCAGGGGCATTGGCGCCAGGGTGGGGGGGGACGCTTCTCCTTGCGTGAGCCAGTGAACTGTCCGAACTTGCACGCAGAGGCGGGAACGCCACGGAGCCACAGTTCTCCGAGAGGCCGTGTCCGGCAGGTGGCGTCTTTTGTGGCTACAGGGGCACGGGACCAAAGCCCCAACGCCCGGGGGTCTCCCTTGGTGACGGGCGTGGGGGCCTACCCGGGTGCCCCTGGGCTTTACTTCGGGTGCTGCTAGAAGTGCCCCTGGGCCAAGGTGCCCCCAGGATTCTCCGGGTGGCCCAGACGGCCTCTGGAGCACCCCTAGCGAGGCCCAGAGGGTCCCCAGGGGCTCCAAAGTGAAGCGAAAAGCTGGGGGCAACTTGGGCCAGGGGCACCTCCTTAGCAACCCCCGAATAATCCCAACGCCCGCGGGTCCCCCTGGGGTAACCGGGGGAGCAGGGGGAGGAGGAGGAGGAGGAGGAGGAGGAGGAGGTGGAGGAGGAGGAGGAGGAGGGAGGAGGAGGAGGAGGAGGAGGAGGTGGAGGGAGAGGAGGAGGATGAGGAGGAGGAGGAGGAGGAGGGAGTGGAGGAGGAGGAGGCGGCGGAGGAGGAGGAGGGAGGGGAGGAGGAGGAGGAGGAGGAGGAGGAGGGAGGAGGGAGGAGGAGGAGGTGGGAGGGGGAGGAGGGGGAGGAGGGGGAGGAGGGGGAGGAGGAGGAGGAGGGAGGAGGGGAGGAGGAGGAGGAGGAGGAGGAGGGGAGGGGGGAGGGGAGGAGTGGAGGAGGGGACCTCCTCGGGTGCCCCCGGGCTTTCTCGGGGGGGGGGGGGGAGGCTTTCTCGGGGGGCTTCCTCGGGTGCCCCCAGGCGCCCAGTCGTCGCCGCTCGGGGGCGCTCGGGGGGCCTGCCCCGCCCGAGAGGGCGGGAGGCGGCTTCGCCGTCGGGGGCCCGTGGCCTGTGCCTCCTCCTCGTGTTCCTCCTCCTCGTGTTCCTCCTCCTCTGCCTCCTCCTCCTCGTCTGCTTCCTCCTCCTCCTCCTCCTGCTGCTGATCTCGCTCCTCCTCCGCCTCCTGCTTTTTTTTTCCCCTCCTCCTCCTCCTCCTGATCTTGCTCCTCCTCCTCTTCCTTTCCCTCCTCCTCCTCCTCCTCCTCCTTCTCCTCGCCCCCCTCCTCCCCCTCCTCCTCCTCATCATTTACTCCTCCTTCTCTTTCTCCTCCTCCTTTCCTCTTTCAACAGTTTGCGAGAGCGGGCTGCGGAATGAAACCAAGCATGATGGTTTCCAGCGGCGTGTTTCAGAAAGGCGTTCGACACAGTGGAACACGACAGTCTGTGGAAAACGTTCCATCAAAAAGGCGTGTATCCTGGATAGCTGTGGTCCGAGCCGACGCCATCAGCAAGTCTTTTAACCTCAGCCGCGGCACAAAACAAGGTGATAGCATGTGCGGGCGCCAGTCATCCAGGGAAGGCAGCGCCGCAACCGGGGCGTCCAACTTGGTGCTACAGACATTTGAAGACTCACGAATCTCCGGCTCGCCGACGACATCTTGCTGGCCAGCCAAACGTTGCCTAACTTGAAGGCCATGCTTTCCGACCTCGTCGTCTCAGCCAGGCCGCGCGGTTTGAAACTGCGTCCCACCAAGACCAAAGTCCTGACCAACCAGCCCCGGCACCGCGCTCGCGTGGTCAGAGTTGCAGACATGGACATCGAATTGCTACCACGCACCGACACCATCGCATACCTGGGACAGGCCATCACCTTTCTTGACGGGATTTCGACAGAGCTCCAACAGCGCATCCGAGCAGCGTGGGCATGTTTCAGAAGTTATCGACAGGAGCACGCCATCAAACATTATCCATTGGGCAACCGACTACGACTACACAGAGGGACCATACTACCTACAATGACGTATCGCGCCGAAGCGTGGATTCTAACATAATCCCTCCAACAACAGCTGCGCAGAACACAGCGACAAATGGTCAGAATGACGATCGGAACGCCACGTCGGCGCACGACAGCCTCATTTGCACCACGCCCTAACCCGGAGACGAATCAAAGCAATGGACGCGACACCAGCGACACTGCGACGACCAACCCCGACACCAGCGAATCAGCCGTACGCAGCAACCCACTTTACCGACCACGACGACCTTCAGGATGAACGACACAGCCGAACGCCGGGCCAGACGGTGACATTGAGCCATGGCCCGATTACATTCAAAGGGGCACACGGGTTGAGGAAACAATGGTGCTCAAACATGACATACCCGACGTACTGCACATACAACGACGGATGGTTTAGCGGTGGGCAAAGATTATGGCGAACCACCCCACGACGCGCTAGACACAGCGAGCATTGGGATGGGAGGCGACAGCATGGAGGTCGACAAAAACGTTGGGAGGATAACGTCCAGAAGTTCCTACGTACTTTGAACGGGAGTACTTACTTACGACGACGACGGCGATGGGCCGGGAGACATCTTGGCAGCAATTGTTCTTCGACAGCACGAACTCAACGACATCAACGATTTGCGATGGATCCAGGCCGCCGTAGATACTATTTGGTGGAGACGACAGGAAGCCGCCTTTATTTCACAGCGCTGAGTTGTTATTGTCTACATCGAAGCTACGGCCTCCGCCGCCACGCCCTAATGGGCGCGCGCGGATGTGGCGTTCGCTTCGCTTCGTCTCGCTTCCTCCATCCCCCTCCTCCACGCGCATGTGCGGGTAGTTCGCAAAGCTCCTGACCGAGGAGCAACTTCGCGCCGGCTGTTCGCCCCGGGACCGGGCAAGGGGCCCCCAGAGGCCTACACGTCCGTCGCGCTTCCCGAGCAGCTTGTCTGCAAGAGCCCTTACGACCGCCTCCGTGGCAGAGTATGGGCCTCGCTGGATCCGCAAGCGGTGGCTCGCGGTCTCCCGCGTTGTCTCCCGAATGGTTTGGTCTCCCGCATGGCGTCCTGCACTGTCTCCCGCGTGGTCGCCAGGATGGTCTCCCGGAGGACGGTCTCCCGCATGGTATCCCGCACGGTCTCCCGTCGGGTCTCCGGTACGATGGTTGCGCGTGTGGTCTCTCCAGCATGATCCCCCAGAGGGTGTCCGATGTTGTATGCCGTGGGGTCTCCCTTGTGGTTCCCTTTTGCTTGCTCATCTAGTGCACTCTCAAGTACTCTCTGCGTTGCGCCTCAATCTCTGCAGTGCTCTCCTCAGTGCTCTCCTCAGCATCGCGAAGAGCCGTTCGGAGTCCGCGGCCGCCACGGGCGCGAATCTGACCCCTCGCAGCGCGTTGGGGGAAGGGGAAAGAGGCCTCCGCCCTCCGTCCTCGAGGAGGCCCCCCCCCCCCCCCCCCAGCCGCCCCAGATGAGAGGGGGCGGGCCGCGCCTTCCCCCCCCACCCCCTTCTTTCTCCTCCCCCTCCCCATCCTCCTCCGCCTCCTCCCCCTCCTCGCCCCCCTCCCTCTCCTCCTCCTCCTCTTCTTCCTCCTCCTGTTCCTCCTCCTCTTGGGGCCCCCGCTGCGTTTTCCAGTGTCGAGAGTGTTTTTAGCGGTCGCGAGGCCCCGCGCCAGCCTTGTGGATTTCCTGCAGCAAAGCCCCTTGTGTTCCCGCATCCCAGCAGGGGCTTCGGGCCAGGTCGGATGTTAAAGTTGCAGGGCTCGCCACCGATGCGTTGCCTCGGTGGGGGAGGCGGTGCCCCCCCAAGCTGTCGACTCTCTGGGCCTGTGGCTGGTGCTTTGGCGAGTGAGTGTGCGGTCGGGGCGTCTGTTGTGCCCGAGGAAGTTCTCGTCGAGGTCCACGGGCACCATGGTCTGGTGTTTCCCGCGGCCATGGTCTGCACCACATGTGGCCCCTACGAGTTTCCGGCCAGAGCGGCCAACTGCAGGCTCGAGGCCCAAAGTTTCGGTCGCTCCGAGCACGGCCCGACAAGGTAAGCATAAGCAGAATCGCCATCGTTCTGCCAACAGAGCGCGGCGTCACCCGAAGTCTGGTCTGCCCACTGGCATTGGTGACTCATAAGTATACCGTGGCATGTTCGCGTCCTGCCGCCCTATCGGTCTCCGTTTGGCTGCAATGGTGTGTATATGCGTATGTACGTATATATATATATATATATATAGAGAGAGAGACAGAGAGAGAGATATAATAAGAGAGAGAGAGAGAGAGAACAAAATACAATCAACAAAAAACCCGACAACAACTTACAACGGTTTAAAAAAAAAAACACAAAAAAAAACGTTTTTGCGTCAGGTCGCTTCGCGTGAGTGTCGAGCGAGCGGCCCATCCGATGGCCCGGGCTCCCGTCCGTCGGCTGCACGACTTGGCCAGCCTGGTGGTCCTCCTCCTCGTTTTTGTTCCTCCTCCTCCTCCTCCTCCCACGAAGAAACCACACCTGCTCCTCCTCCTCCTCCTCCTCCTCCTCCTCCTCCTCCTCCTCCTCCTCCTCCTCCTCGTTTTTTCCTCCTCCTCCTCCTCCTCCTCGTTTTTTTCCTCCTCCTCCTCCTCCTCCTCCTCCTCCTCCTCCTCCTCCCACGAAGAAACCACACCTGGGCCGAGCTAGATTTTTAATAGCCAGACTGCTCCAGCGCAGAGGAGGAGGAGTCGCCCAAGCATGGGGCGCGCAGCGTACTGCTAGATCGCAGGGGATTTTGCCAGACGCGCGCAAGGCACCAGTCTAGGTGTGTTGACGTTGACCCCCTTATGCGGACGTCCTGTCCTGTCCTCCTCCTCCTCCTCCTCCTCCTCCTCCTCCTCCTCCTCCTCCTCCTCCTCCTCCTACTCCCGCGCGAGGTGTGGCCGGGGGCGAGCCTGTCGTGGGACTTCTTCAACTATTTCTTCGGCCCGGGGCGGGGGCGGCTCGAGGGGGCGAGGGGCCCGCAGAGTTCCGAGAAGGAGAGGTCAGGAAGACAGCTATCGGGCTGGGAGGATGGGGCTGTCGGAAGTGAGGATAGCGTCCCAGACATGCTCGCGTCGTGAAAAAATCAGGACGGGAGGTTTTTGGCTATTTTCGACCCTCGGGGGCCCTCGCCGGGCCCCGGGACCGTCAAAAAACGACTCCGGATGAGAAACCGGTCCCGGGGAAAGGGTCGGGCTTTCCAGGGACGCCGTCCTGAAAAAATCAGGACGTCGCATGTCTGGGGTTGCCCGCAGGATACTGTTTTTTTTAGGGTATGGCGATCGCCCGGGTGATCGGGCTGGCCCCCCCCACCCCCTTCCAGGACCACCTAACCTTGCCGGTTGTGCAGGTCGGGGGTGGGGGGGCGCGGGCATATGCAGGGCTGCCCACAGCGCGAAGGTTAGGTTATCGGCCGGCCCCCTCCCCCCCCCACCCGGATAACCCCGGTTATCGCCGATTCAAAAACAACGGTCTCGAGGCTGTCGAAGGTATCGCGCATTGCAGCCGAATGTTATTGCTCATGCCCTTCCTCCTCCCAACCCCTGCCTCCCAACACGACAGCTTTTCTCCCCCGGAGGGTGCCGAAACCACTCCACCAGTGTCTGGTGCTTGCCATTCTGGGCCTCCTGGGAGGCCCTCGTCGCCACGGCTGGATTCGCATCGACATCCCGGGCACAGCGCACCCTGGGAATAGGCCCCGGGAGCAGCGTCGGGCGGGGCCAGGACGAGGATCAATCCGCTCCAGAGCGGCCTGGAACGCTCTCGTAGCGTTCCGGAAGGCTTTGAGAGGGCCGCGGCGCCCGAGGTATCCGCTAAATCCGTCGACTCTCAGAGATTCTCGAGTTATCCTCACCCGATGCTATCCTCGTCCTGGCTTCGTCTTGCATCGCCACCCGCCAAACCACCCCAGCCCAACCCGCAGGCCTCAATCTGCCCTCCACTTCCAGTGCAGGGGGGGTCGGGAACATCGAGCAGAGGCATCTGTCGTCCTCGCCTGATGTTGTCCTCGTCCTGGCCTCGTCTTCACAGCATCGGCACCCTTTTCTTGTTGGCTTCTTTCGGGGGAGCGTAAGACCCGGGTTTGCCAGGACTCGGGTTCGCGATCGTTTTTTGACGACCGCGCCTCGGATTTTGACGAGGAGGGTGTCTGCAGCGGGAGGCCTCGTCAAAATGCAGGCTCGGCCTCGTCATTTTTTTGACGACCTCGTCGGGGATTTCCGAGTCCCCCGTACCCGGGTCTTACGTCTCCCCGATTCTTCCCAACAGCGAGCGGGGATGCCGCCAGAGGGGGGCCGGGCGGAGCACCGCACCGCAGCAGCGGCGGCGCGGCGCGTCTCGGAGCCGCCACTTGTCCGCCCCGGCGTCCCCGACGTCGCCGGCGCATCGGCGAGGCATGGGAGGCGCGGTGCGATCCTCGGGGAGGAGGAGGAGGGGGAGGGCGAGGAGGAGGAGGAGGGGGAGGAGGAGGAGAAGGAGGAGGAGGAGGAGGAGGAGGAGGAGAAGGAGGAGGAGGAGGGGGAGGGGGAGGGGCCCGGAGCTCCCTAGCCAACGATAGGCCGGCCAGAATTCGCCAGGGACGCGTAAGACTCGAGTAAGCCAGAACTCGGGTTTGCCGACTTTTTCGAGGCTCGAGGGACGGGGGTCAGTGGAAGCGGGGGTCAGCCAGAGCGCTGGATCTTGCAGGATCCTGAAGGCCCAGGGTCGCATTGACCCGGGTTTGGGCGCAGGATCCTGCATGATCTTGCAGGCTCCGTCGCATTGACCCGAGTTTGGGCGCAGCATCTTGCAGGATCTTGCAGGATTCTGGAAGGCCTGACTGACCGGGGTCTGGATTGATCCGGGTCAGAAGATCCCCGACTTTTTGTTAACGAGCGCGTCCCGGATTTTGACGGTCCCGTTGTCGTAGGATGTCTGCAGCGGGAGCCCGCATCAAATTTCAGATTGGGTCTCGTCATTGTTAGGATGGCCCCCGTAAGGCCAACCCGAGTCCCCCGTACCCGAGTCTTCAGTCTCCGCCGTTGCGGGGTCCAAAAACTTGGATAGAAGGGCGCCAGAAGGGCGTGGGGAGGCCTTTGGAAGAGCTCTGGGAGGACCTGGAGGGAGCTTCCGAAGGACCTTCCGGAGAGCTTCTGGGCATGGGCGGTGCGGTGCGATCTTGGAACCTTCTGTTCTTTGTCCCCATGCGAGACATGATCGCCATGAGGGGGTCGGGTTAAGTCGGGCCTGTCCCTCCACAGCAGGAAACTTTAAGAATAATAACAATTTGTCAGGGGACGATGTTTGTGGTATGTTTGTATTTTAGTTTGGCATTTTTGCTGGTATGTTTTACTTTTCGTCTAACATCCGCCTGTAGGGGGACATGCCCGACCTAACCCCATGCGAGACATGATCGCCATGAGTGAGTCAGGTCCTGAAGGTCTTTCGCTGTGTTCGGGCTTGCGGGGCCTTCACTGGCCCCCGGTACCGCGAAGAAGCGCCTCGGGATGAACAGCTGGTCTTTCGTCGGGCATGTGCCTCTACAGGAGAAGTATATTCAAAAATAGTCCGGACATCGTCTGGGGACGATTGTTTGATTTTTTTGCAATTCTGAAGATTGTTGGACTATTTGTTCACTTTCGTCCAAAACGATGCTTTGTTACTTGTTGTGTTCATTATTTTTTTGACGATTTTCATCATGTTTGGATTCTTGTTGGACTATTTTTTCACTTTCGTTCAAAGTCCGCCTGTAGCAGGACATGCCCGACCTAAAGCTGGCCCAGGGGAACGCCGTATATGGTCCGGGACCCGATTCGTCCAGGACCTTCAGGACCCGTTTCCTTCATGGCAAGGGCTCCGATGTTCCAGCCTACTTTAGCCTGGGTCCTCCTCCCTTCCTCCCGTCTCCTCCTACTGTGGAGACCCATGCTAAGAAACACCGTGCTTGCCTCCAGGGTGCCCCGGGTTTCTTGGGTTTCGATGGTTTTACTTTGGAAAGCGTGACATTCTCACACCAAAAATCAATGGACGGCCTGGGGTCTCAGGGTTGGGTTTCGTGTGGAAGCTGTCTTGTGGTCGAGCTTCTACTGTTATGATGTTCCAGCCTACTTGATGTAGCCTTGATCACCAGAAAGAATTTCGAACGCCCCAAACAAGAACCGAAACTCGAGGGTTTTCACGTGTCGGGCCCTGGAAGACACTCGTTTCGACACTGTTTCGACACTGTTTCGACACTCTTCCGGGTGCTCGAAATTATTTCTGGGATGTGGTCCTTCAGTGCGATGGAAGCAACATAAGGCAAGGGGAGGGATCGTTGTCCAAGATCGAGGAGGAATGCGGATCGAGGGAGTCGTCGAGGATTGGGGGCCGAGGATCGAGGAGGAACGGCGAGGATCGAGGATAGAGGGGGAAACAGGTGGGTCCAGGAGGACCTGGGGTCGAGGAGGATCGATGAGGAGCAGGATGATCTGGGATCGAGACGGATCGATGATTGCGGATGAAGATCCAGCCCAGGGGATCGCTGGGAAAGCGCAAGTCTCGTCGTCTTCGACTTGGGTCGAGGGTCGAGACTCCTGGGCGTTTCTGTGGGGCGGCTCGGGGTGTGTTGTTTGCTGTTCAGAGGAGGGGTCCGTGGGGCAGTGCGGGTGCAGTTGTTTCTAGAAAAAACTGCACCCGCACTGCCCCACGGCCGCACTGCGCCGGGCAAGAAATTGATTTCTTGCCCGGCGCAGCTGCAGCGACAACACCACCGCAGTAGAAACAAGAGCGTGGGTCTTCCTCCCTTCCTCCCGTCTCCTCCTACAGTGGAGACCCATGCTAAGAAACACCGTGCTTGCCTCCAGGTTGCCCCGGGTCTCTTGGGTTTCGATGGTGTTGCTTTGGAAAGCGTGACACTCCCACACCAAAAATCAACGTCCCGGGGTCTCAGGGTTGGGTTTCGTGTGGAAGCTGTCTTGTGGTCGAGCTCCTACTGTTGTTCCAACCTGCTTTAGCCTTGACCACCAGAAAGAAACCGAAACTCGAGGGTTTTCACGTGTCGGGCCCTGGGAGACACTCGCCCGACACTGTTTCGACACTGTTTCGACACTGTTTCTGGGATGCGATCCTTAAGTAGGATGGGAGCAACATAGGGCGAGGGCAGGGTTCGTCGTCCAAGATCGAGGAGGAATGCGGATCGAGGGAGACACCGAGGAGCAGGATCGGGGAGCAGGAGCAGGCCTCCCAGATCGAGGGATGTGGTCCTCGAGTACGGTGGGGGCTGCATAATCCTACTGCAACGAAGAACGGGCACCGGCCCTGAGAGGATGGGTGGAGGCGGCAGGTCCCTTTCAAGGGGATCCCCCCGTGCCTGTGGCCGTCCTCACTTAGGCCCCCTCCCAAAGGGTCAGGGGTGCTTCTCTGGTTAATCCAGAGGGAAGCAGGTCCTGGAGCGAAGGGTCTTCCCCCAAGACCAGCTTCTCTCTCTTTCTCTCTTTCCCTCCCTCTCTCTCTCTCTCTCTCGGCGAAGGAGAAGACGAATCCAAGTACTAGTCATATTAAAATACGAATCACGAGAATGACGACACATCCAGGAACTTTCAGCGCTTCGCGCGGATTTCTTGGATCCGCGCGGGCCCCCCCGGTGGCGGCGCCTCTGACGCCGCCCCTGGCGGGCTCCGCGCGCCAGGGAGGGGGAAGTCCAGCGCAGATCCAGGGCATCCGCGCGGACCGTCAGAAGTTGATGTTCGTGCCGTTCCTTCTCCTCCTCCTCCTCCTCCTCCTCCTCCTCCTCCTCCCTCCTCCTCCACCTCCTCCCCCTCCTCCTTCCCCTACTCTTCCGCCCCCCTTCGCGCCCCATGTTGATGCTCGTGCCGTTTTGTTGTGACGCTTTTCTCGTCCTGCGTTCGTCTCTGGCGGCCCCGGGGGTCCGTGGAGGGCCTCGGGAGGCCACGCCTGGCAGCGGACTCTGTGGGGCCCCCGCTGCCCTCGGCGCCCGCTCCTTTCGTGGCGAGCCTGGGCGCCCCGCCAACAAAAAGACAGCGCTGCGCGACGGCCTGCGGCCGCCCGCAGGCGGGCGTCATCCGCGGGGGCGGGGGAAGGAGGAGGAGGAGGAGGAGGAGGAGGAGGAGGAGGAGGAGGAGGAGGAGGAGGAGGAGAATCAGGAGGAGGACGAAGAGGAGGATCAGGAGGAGGAGGACGAGGACGAGGAGGAGGAGGAGGTGGAGGAGGAGGAGGAGGAGGATGAAGTGGGGAGAAGGGGGGGTGCGGGGAGGGATTCTGTTCACGGTCGAGCTGGTGCTGAAGATCCTCGGGCTCCGGCGGGACTTCCTGCGGGACCCCGCGCGAGGGAGAGAGAGGGGGAGCGAGGGAGAGCGAGCGGGGGCAAGGTGGAAGGGGAGGGGCGAGGGGGGAGGGGAAGGGGGGCGAGGGCAGGGGGGAGGGGGGGAGGCAGGGGAGGCAGGGGAGGGGAGGGGAGGGGCGGCAGGGGAGGGGAGGGGCGAGGGGGGGGAGGCAGGGGGGGGAGGGGGGCGAGGGGGAGGGGGAGAGGGCTGGGAGGGGGAGGCAGGGGCGGGGAGGGGCGATGGGGACAGTCAGAGACTCGGTCGATTAACGGTCGACAAATCGGCGGCGGCCCGCGCGGCGGGCCCTTTTGCCCCGGGCGCGTCTTTTCCAAACTTCTTATTGGTGAACCGGGGGGTGACAAACGTGAAAACGAGGCGCGGCCAACCCCCCCGGCACCACGCCCGCGCCCCAGCGGGGAAGGTATCGAACCCCAGACCCCCCCGGGCACCCCCGCGGACGCGCCGCGGCCAACCCCCCTGGGCACTCCAAGGGGAGGGCGATTATTAAGCGATCCAGAGAACCTTTTCTCGGGTGCGGGGTGCGGGGAGGGCAGGGTGAGGGGAGAGGAGAGGAAGGCGACCACGACGACGACGACGACGACGACGACGACGACGACGACGACGACGACGACGACGACGACGACGACGACGGCCGCGGCGACGACGACGACGGCGACGACGACGACGACGACGACGACGACGACGATGGCGACGACGACGACGACGACGGCGGCGGCGGCGTTCGGCGGCGTTTCGCGTCGACGTTCGGCGGCGGGAAGGCGAGGGCGCGTGTGGCTGCCGCCGCGTTGGGTGAAGTACGCGCGCGTATCGGTTTGACTAGGGATGGGGCACGGGTAGGATTTGGCCCCTGTCTGGCCTGGTTGGGCTCGATGCAGCGGGTAGTCTCAATGAGGATTTGGGTGCTCAGGAGGTAGAAGGGGGAAGGGGGGGGGGATCACGGGGATGGAGAGATGCGATGGGGGAGGGAAGATAGGAAAATATGTTGGAAGGGAAGCGGGGAAGGGGAAGTATCTTCCGACCCCTTCCGTCTCCATTTCCACCTCATCCTCACAATCTCGTTAAGTGTCCTTCTCCGCGTCGTCGTTCAGCAGCTCTCCGCATCTTTCTCCTCACCATTATGGCTGTGACCCCGTACCTTGACCCGTTCGCAAACCGTAAGCCTCCAGCCCCGACCACACGCGCCTTGCCACATTCGCCAGAAAAGTGCTACGCTTGCTGCGCCACGGCGCCTGGGTAAACCCATGTTTCTTAGTGTTCCCCCAGCCAGTACACATGTTTCATTTCGAATTATTCGAGAGTTGTTTGACTTTTTGGGGGCCAAGATCCTTTCATTTCTAATTGTTCCATCCTGGGCCTCTTCCTGGCCACTAGGGGGCCAGGAACAATTAGAAATGAGGACACTTAGAAATGATCACGATTAGAAATGAATGACATGTACAGCCCGCTCGGATCCCAGCCTCGACCTCTCGTCTGTCGCTCCGATTGGCATTGCTGTATTCCCTCCTCACTTCAGCAAGTCTGTCATCGCACGGCCCCAAGCACGGCGCCCTGTGCCCGCCGAATCACGGCAGGTTGCCAGGTGTATTTGGGTCCATTTCTTTTGTTTTGGCACTGTGTGCACACCACCATTCTTGGAGATGCTTCTTGAGGATGGTCTGGCCAATGTGATCCAAATTGGCAGCCTGCGTCGCCACAGCGTGGAACACCACAAGCGCACGTATGAGATCTTCGACGAATCCACCGAAAGCCACACCTGACCCCCCGTCTATTGGCCTTTCTATGGGAAAATGCGGGGAATCCGGTCCTTAGTGTCTATTCATTTGTGTGTCCCAGGGCCCCTTCAGTGGTGACGAGGAGACGGGGGCGAAGAAGTCGAGCAAGCAGGACCGCGGCACCGCGACGGCCATCCCCGGGAGGACGTGGACCTTCGCCAGGACGGCGAGGACGGGAGGCACAATGAATCGGGGGTGGACAGAACCCCCAACAGTGACACGTCGATCAGTGAATTGTCCGTTTTCGGTTCTCGAGAGGGCGCCGCGGCCGTTATTTTCCAGGCTTGCGCCGGCCAGGTTTGGACCTCAGGTCGTTTTCACTAAACCACGTTTTACTAAAGGGGGGTCTGTCCATCCCCGAATGAGCCAGCGCAGAAGCAATGGAAAGGGCAAGCCCCGCCAGGGCCTTCGCCGCCGCCAGGGCGGGTCCACGCCGAGGAGCACTGGACCTCCAAGGGCGCGAACCTGAAGCCCTTCCCCGAGACTTTCATCAAGCTGGCGCTCCAGAGCACGCATCAGCTGCAGCTCGTCACGAGCACCGTGCTGGCCACGTTCACCATGCCTGTGGAACACCCCGTGCTGGAGGAGCTGCAGACGCAGAGTGACGAGTAGTACAAGAAGGCCGTGGCCACAGCTCGGGACGAGGGCGCAGCGGCGCTCCGAGGGCCCGCCGTGGCCCTCGGAGTCACGCCGCCGAGGCGAGTGACCTGGTCGGTCCTGTACTCGCGCGCATGATTCTGACGCTTCCTCTCCGCCCGCGAGCCCAAGCTGGTGGCGCCAGCACCTCGCGTGCACGGCCAATTACGCGTTCCAGCAGTCCGACGCTGAAGCACGATGGAATGCCGCACTGGCAGCACATAATCCAGCAGCACGACGACGGGCAATATCAGCACGACGTCGGGCGCCAGCAGTGCTCTCAGGGAGCCCAGGTTGCCTTTCCAGCCGCCTGGCCGTCATATACCACTCCTTGCACGTTGGATTTTGACAGATGCCTCGATGTCGAGTTGCGGTGCGATGGTGGTGGTCCCGATCTATGCTCTGCCTCTTCCTGCGCCTCCTCGTTTTCTTCCTTCAGTATCCATGCTGTGTCAATCCAAGAATCCAGCTGATTATCTCTTGGGGTCTGTCCCCTCGCGGAAAAAGGGGATGCCGCTGGCCCGCGGCAGGTTCTCAGTGTTTCCCCCTTTGAAGCCACAAGACTGGAGGCTGCCAAGTTCCATGTCCTCGCTGCTGGTCGAGTTGTCTCCAGCCAAATATCCATATCCTTGTCGACCGAGCCGCCCCCAGCACGTCCGTATTCCAGCACCAGGTCTGCGCTTGCTGCTGGCGCCCGTCACTTCCCCTTCAGTCCTGACTGCCGCGGCTTCGATCCACTTTCGCATTGATGGTGGAGAGAGTCTACGCAGCGCCAACACTGCCAACATATCTACCTCACGAGATGTTCCGTGTTCTCGTGCCGCACGGCAAGAAAGCGCCGCAACACCCATCGTCGAGGCACGCCTGGTCCAGAATCCTGACGTGCCTAGCGAGATGATGCTCGCGCAGCCGCTGACACCTGCGCTGCACTCGGTGGATGCCCTCTTGCTGGAGCTGGGGTTCCCTGGGCCATCAGTCGCTGTGGATCCCTGGACCAACAGTCGCCACCGAGCGCGTGAACACCGCTCCGCTGGCCGAGCCGGTTGAGAAAATGCAGGAGCTGTCCTCTTGCTGCTGCTGCTGCTGCTGCTGCTGCTAGATCCGCAGGCCATGCAAGATGACCCCACAGGGACGCCGCCATGGAGTCACCCGCCGCCCGTCGACCTTCCCGCTGGAGTGGCTGAACGAGAGCGCGTCCGCCAAGCTCAGCTCCGAGCCGCCCGTGCTGACTTCCAAGCTGGCCCACGACATGCCCGAACTCGCTGCCTGCCCACCGCACGAGCAACGCTCGCTGTAGTCCTCATGCCCGAGCAGATCCAGTAGGCGAGGCCCCCGACAAAGACCAGACCAGTGACCGCCTCGACCAGGCCGCCATGATTTCTTTCAGCTGTCTCCTGCAACACGCTGCTGCTGTAGCTGAACTGTGCGTCATTTTGGCTCGCTGTGAAGCCGCGGTCGAGGGAGGGCAACCTGGGGCATCCCGCCAGGTGAAGGTCATCCTTCAATCGGCGAGGCACTCGCAGGGCGGTAGGTATGGCTACACCGCACGTGGCCAAGTCGTGGTTCGCTTCGAGGTCTGTCTGGCTAGATTGATTCCACCGCGTTGCCGATCCGTTGCCTCCTCCTCCTCATCCACCTCCTCCTCCTCCTCCTCCTCCTCCTCCTCCTCCTCCTCCTCCTCCTCGTCCTCATCCAACTTTTCCTCCTCCACCTCCTCCTCCTCCTCCTCCTCCTCCTCCTCCTCCTCCTCCTCCACCTTCCCCCCCCCCCCGAAACACCGATCACACCCTCCCGGCGCGTGCGCGTGCGGGCGATCCGCGCAGGACAAGTGGAACTGGTTCGACTCCGCGATCGTCTTCGCCTGGTGCGGACGCGCCGCCGGCCGGCATTTCGATCGATCCCCGCCGAACTTGCGATGACTCCTCCTCCTCCCGGGGAATGGGTCGAAACCTCCAGGGGGCGCCGCGATCCCCATGCCCGCGACATCCCCGGCTTCCTGGACCCTCGGGGAGCGCCCCTGCGAGATGTCTAGGCCTCCCAGATGGGGTCGGAGGATCGCGCCGCGTCGCCGATGCATCGCCGATGCGGCTGGATGTGGGGCCCGATTTGCTTCACGTCGACGTCGCCGATGCATCGCCGACGTCGTCGACGATGCATCGCCGTTGCATCGCCGATGCATCGCTGATGCATCCCCGATGCATCACCGATGTATCGGCGATGCGGCGCGATCCTCCGACCCCTTCTACTCGGACCCCATGTAGGAGGCCTCTGTATGATGCGGTCGGCGTTCCTGGGGGACGCGCCGGGTGCGGCCAGGCACTGGGCCCTCGAAGGCGCCCAAGCCTTCGCGTTCCCGCTCTCGCCCCTGCGAGCATGGCCGACGTCGAACATTGACTCGCGCGCAGGTGCTCAGAGCGTGAATTACCTACCCCGCTTTCGCTTCCAGGCAAAACCAAGTCATACCACGCGCCTCCCCGTCGAGCGGCCTGACCAGTGCGTGCCGTAGTTCGGCACCGCTTGGTAGCTCTTGG